CTTTTTTTATCGATTTCTTTGATTTGGATTTCTTTCTTTTTACAGGGAACAAGGAAGAAGAAGACGAACCGGCGGCGTGGCCAGGGATTGCAGAGAGATCCGCGATGCACCTCGCATGCACGACGGAGTCAAGGTCGAGCCAACAACAGGCGCGGGAAGAGGACTGATTCGGCACCGGCAGCGAGGGAATGCATGGATAAGAGGGATTGACCTAATGGCTCCAGTCTGTCTGCCTGACTTGGACGGACTATAAGGGGCAGATATCAGTGAGATGGCAGATGGAGTGTCGACAGGGAGCAGACGAACGGAATGAGTTGACAGGATGGTATGCATCTGGTACCCGATTGAGAGGGAGATGTGCATCTGCTGGCATCCTGTCTGGCTGGACCCTCCGCATGATACGAACTGCCGTGCCTGCTGCCTGCATGTTGACATAAAGATGACATGGCATGGCCAGCGGAGATCCAGATGCGTTGTCTCCCTCTTCTTGGTCTGGCCAGAGCCGTCAGTCGGAGTTGGTTGTCCCCCCAGTCCAGCCATTAGTTATCTGTACGCAGGCCATGGCTACCAGCAGTTGGCTAGCTGACGATCCTGGAAGCACTTGCGGCTAAAGGGGCCAAAACAAGGGGGTATCCTTTTACGGAGTAGCCAGTGCATAAAAGTGTTGGTTATCCTGCAGCGTTTGAAGGAGTAGTCTCGGGTTATCATCTACTTCAATGTTAGCTCTAGAAAGGACCACAATGATAGCATCTCTAAGGGTAGCCACAAAGACAAGGTCGTATGCAATCTCGTCAATATGCCGATTATCTCTCCCCTAGTAATCCTCTTAAGGTACGCTTTACAGCTGTGCATTTTCCACATATCAGACAGGTTTGACCAAGCTGCAGTAGAATTATTAGCATTAGAAACAGATACCGTGGTCGAGCTCGGGATACTTACATGCTGAGTAAATCAGCCGATAATTATGTGTCCATATTGTGGTCCTCTTGATGAATATTTGGGTGGATGGTTACTCCATATCAACCATCTATAAGATATATAGCCTGGTTGAAGAGCCACAACTGTCCAAGTAGGTATAAAGGAAAACATCCAGAGCATGTCCTGCTTATCCTCCTCCATGATTCTTCTCTAGCTATCAACTAACAGATCCTGGAAAAGCACAACTTCGCCATTCGAGGATGGATACGCCATATCTTTCCTCTGTTTGTGCAAAGGTGCGGAACAGTGACTCGATAACGCCGTAAAGATAGTCAAGCTGTGGCTCCTGTGAAAATATACGGCAAAGGGGACGGAGTAAGAACATCCATCTCTAGATACGGCGGTTGGAAGAACAAACGCTGCAAAAAGCTGCTCTGGCCCTTGTCAAAGATGGAGGATAGCTCACTGACCAACATACCAGCATATCTGCAGGCTGCGGGTATCAAAGGAGGGCTTCATTCACCAGGATAAACACTGTTAGTTGACAGAATTTCAAACCCAGCCGTGGAATCAACTTCTGGCACGATCATCAGCGAGAAGTACATTCGCTTTATGGTGAAGTTATGACCGTTTGGCGCCGGAAAGCTGCTCACCAGGAGCTGTACGCAGATATTTCGCAGCTACAAAGTCGACTTCATGCTCTTTACTACCGCCAATTCTCCCTGCTACGCCATATTAACATCACATATGGAGTAACTACATGGCGCCGGGAATGTTTCCGTCGATGGCGGCCTGCAGAGCAGATCAACGCATTCAGTCCTATATCCTAGATACAAGGCTAACCTGGTACGCAATTCGGCCGAGGAGAATCAAGATGTCAATGGCATAGATATTGTGTTTAGGCCTTGACACAGACCTGCGTGGCCGATATACCCCCAAAGCTATGTTTGTCGTCGTGCAACAATAGCGGTTCATATTGATGGAAGCAAGGGTACTGTGTTTTGAGGGCTGAAAAGGAGGGTGGCAGGCCTCACTTTTGTGTTTCCGATTGTGAGTAATTTCGCCCGAGATATTCCTAGTAACGCATATTAATCCTAGTAACATTCGCGGGGGCTAACTGTTTATACATAGGTATCCCCGTAAACCGGATCTTCAGCCCTCGTGTCGACTGCCGTATAGCTAATGGTTATCGTACGGGTGATGCGGCAAGAGTAGGAGCACTGCTTACCCTGTCATCTTACGGCTTTGGACGGAGGTAGAACCAAAGCCATATATAAGAACTGGCTGCGGCCACCCCGTACTCGCAGTTTCTACGATGCTACAGGCACGGTTGGTTGCTAGAAGATCTAGCTCTCCCTCTTCAATATGGCCAAATACGATTTTGTCATGCTGTGGATCTTGACACTGACAACCGCCATTGCGGCTGCCAGACCCATGGTTGTTGATAAAGGGCGGCAGATAACATACACTGGCTTGGACCGCAATGGAATAGAAGTGTTTTTGGGTATCCCTTTTGGCCATGATACGGGGGGCAAAAATCGTTTCAAACCACCAGTGGCCGTTGTTCCCCCACGCGGGAGCAATGTCAATGCTACTGTATACGGGCCAATTTGTCCCCAGGAGTTACGTGCTGGCTCGCAGGGCAAGCTGGTAATTTCTGAAAACTGCTTGAATCTCAATATCGGAAGGCCGAAGAACATGACCAGTCACGAGAAGTTGGCGGTTATGGTAACCATCTACGGCGGGGGTTACTGGGTAGGACATAATCAGGATCCGAGGTGGCACGCTGATAATATGGTCAAGGAGTCAGTGGCCAATGGTCGTCCAATCATCCACGTTGCAATGAACTATCGTCTAGGAGGTGAGTATACTCTCCTTCTCAACAAGCTAAAGAGACTCCTATTCTAAGGGCGATTACTAGTGTTCGGATTTGCTCAGACCACCGCCCTTAGATCTGAGAAATCAGAGAATGCAGCTCTGAGAGATCAACGATTGGCACTCGAATGGGTTCGGGACAACATTGCCGCCTTTGGGGGTGATCCGAAAAGGGTAACAATATTCGGACAGTCATCAGGAGGTATTCTTGCCCCTGATTCCACACACTTCTTTGACATCCACTCTAACTTAGCCAGGCGTATCCGTCGGCATGCAGATGTTGGCATATGGAGGAAAGCAGCCAGTTCCATACCAGCAGGGCATCTGTCAGAGTCAAGTACTTGAGCCCGGCATCACCGGCAATTTCACGAGCACAGCAATGGAGTTAGTGACGGACAAGGCAAATTGCACATCTGGAGACTTCAACTCGGAAGCGGCATTAGCATGTCTACGAGAATTGGATACTGAGACATTACTCGCAGCATCTATTGCTACATACCAAAACGGCGTTTCCCACAACATTGGGGATATATGGCTCCCCAGCGTCGATGGCGATTTTCTCCCTGATGCGCCGTCAGTACTGGTCGCTCAGCGGCGCTTTGCCCCGGTTACCACAATGATGGGATGGTGTGAGGATGATGTTACTCGATTTGTGTATCCAAATATAACAACGTCAAAGGGAGTAGCGGACTTCATTGCATCCTATGCGCCGGATGTATCTCGGAAAAATATCGATACTCTGCTGAAGTTGTATCCTACAGATGAGTTCCCTGAGAACAAAACTGCTGGATTATCCAGAGACTTCTATCGCACGGCCAGAATCTTCCGAGATATAGTGATGACATGCGAACCCTTCCTAGTTGGAGAGCATGCCGCTGCAGAAGGAGCTGATGCGTATTTCTTCGCCTGGAACCAAACTATAGCTCCAAGTGCACTGGGAGTGTTGCATGGAGCCGATTTGCCATACGTCTATGCCAACCTTTCTGCTTATATACCTCCTGGATCACCCATACGCCCAACCGCATCGGACTATGAATTATCACATAGAGCCACACGATCCTGGTCAACATTCGGCAGTACCAAAGAACCAAGTTTACCAGGCCATAATACCTTCAAAGGGTTTCGAAAAAGCTTCTCCAAACACAATGAGATACTAGTATTTGTTGCCGGTGGCCCCAACGAAGGGCTGTCGAATATTGACGACCATGGTCCGCATAGCGTCATAGGAGGACAGAAATTGAGAGAGAGATGTAACTTCATCAACTCTCCGGAAATGATTCATGAGTTACGATTCTAGACATGTTGCGTTTTCAACACTTTGGAAATAGCTTTATGCAATGAACCCCAGTCACTACTCTCCTTATCACAGTCCTTTGCTTGGATTACCGGAGGAGCGTAGAAGGAGGTTATAGTTGGCTTAGCAACTATAATGCACAATCGCATAGTCTAGGAAGTAGTTAGAATATCCTCAGAGGCTGGCACTAAAACAAATCCGAGAGTGCTTGGGCGGGTAATCCATAATACCACTCCATAGCCCTAGCAATTAGAGCATTCAAATGCATTGTCGCCTAAACTGCTTCGATCTCTATGAAGAGTAATGTGACTGGTACCATAGCCTCTGGTCCTTCTGTTAGCGCTTCACCTACCAATGCCTGATGGGCCTAGCTTGGCTAAAGCCGAGTGTCGATCGAGTGCGAATGCCCCTGATGACTTAATAACGGGGATTATCGTGGATCAAGAGGGTATACGATGAAAACAAAAGCCGTAGAACAAAGCCGGCTTAACCCCTTCATTTGCCTTCGCCGAGTCGGTCATCCGGGTGTACTTAAGTTGGGCAGACAACTGTCCACTCAGAGGATAGAGCCAGCGTAAAAGGCATATCATAAGATCGTCTCATCGGAATTATAACGGGTATCCATATTCCGCCTTCTGGCTGTCAATCGGCATAAGCAGTATAGTATCCATTCGTAGCAGCTGATAGCTATGATGCGCAGCCCATTCGGCCGCTAGAACGCAGCAGTTATATCCCGCGACGTTTGTGTCACACAGCACCCTTAGCAAAGCTGCCCACGCCACGATTAAGGAGCGTCCTTGCTTCTCCTCTCTTCTTCTCCTCTTTGATGTCTGATGTCTGTCAATCAGAATCAACCACCTTAGCCTCGCGGTGCCTGTTTTTAGAATCACGGTCACGTGATAATTTTCTAACGCTCTCAACCTGCTTCGAGCTTCAAACATAACAAGTCGACAGTTCGAGTCGATAACAGGCACCCAACAGCAAGCAAAGGAGGCGGATGTGCAGAGTCTCTATACACTGAAACGGACTGGGATTTCTTCTCTGTTTCTCTTGATTTTAATGCTGCGGTAGTTCAGCCTCGGCCCGGGCGAGTTGCCCTCATCTTTCTCCAATGAATCCCCATATATCCGTACCCCGGCAACATGCTGGGCCAGCGCAGTTCGGCGGTACCTCGCCGCAGAATAGGAACCCATTTATACGAATGCCGCAGGTTTTTGGCCGGTAAGGTGATGCTGTTTTACTCTGTGGGCTATCCGCATACTGATGCCTGCGGCATAGGTTGTTCAAAGTCTCACAGATGGACTTTGAGATGGCCATTTGGGAGATGACATCTCTTGTGATTGCACCTAAAAAGGTGTTTAAATCTATGTATTATCATGTTTGTAGCCCCATATCTTTATGGTCCTTCGGGAAAAGGAAGCTAAAGCTAACCAATTGACTGTTCTTAGAAACGTCAGTCTCCCCTCGCAACCCATCACATAGCTACTCACGGCCTAATACCTGTCTAGAAACGAAAAACACCTGGCATCGCCCCGATCCGTCATTCAGCTACCTCTTCTCCTTATTCCTATATTTAACCGGCCTAGCATGGGGCTTTGCCTATAAACCGTCTTTTCTCTCTATGAATGGCCTCGCCATAGCTTTCGTCTTTCTTCATTACCTCGGGGCTTCCCTCATTATTTCCACGATAATGTACTTCACTGTGGGCCGCATATTTGGTCCCAATGGTCCCGCTGCCACAATTAGTGAGTGGAGAGGGACACGGTCGTCCCTAGGTCGCATGAGACGGCGTGCACCTGCACAGGGACTTTTTGGGTTATCGGGGGATAAAGAGCACGTTGAATTTGGATATTGCTTCGATGTGAGCCCGCTTTTCAACCGCTGAAATCTAAACACCACGTTATTAACCACTTTCACATAGATATCCGCCCGCGCCTTTTTCACACTCTACCTCCATCTATACGTTCTACAATTTGTCCTCCTCCCTGTTCTCACTCGTGGTACAGGGACGTCCTCCAATCTTCTAGCTACTCTTCTAGGAAATACTCTATACCTCTCTGCGTTCTCATATTATACATATATATCCTTCCTCGGGTATAGCAACCTGCCGTTTTTGTATCATACAGAACTGATTCTGTTACCCATCGTTGTCATGGGCATTATGTGGTTTGTAAGTTTGTTCTTAGGATGGGGAATTGTTAGGCAAGGCGGTGCTGCGAGGTGGTTATTATTGTGGCCTTGATTTGGCAAAATTGATATGCCTCTAATATTGAAGAGAGCGTGGATGGCTTTTAGCTCCTGGCTTTTTACACCAAGAGCCGCTTGCTTCTAGCCTCAGAGAAGCTACTTTACGAGAGCTCTGGCATTTGATATACGGAATATGGATAGATCTTGTCTTTATGCATAATGCTCTTCTTCTTCGTTTCTTCGAATTGAATTTGTTAATATGTGTAGGAAATTTGTGATGCATGATCCGGCACAGCCGCCTCGCAGCTATAGTAAATAGTGACTCAGCCGCTCGGTGGTCATTGAATACGAGATTATTGTGTTGAGAGGTCCTATCTTGAGTATCACGATCACCGAGTTATCCCGATTGCTCCCGTTCCTACGTCATCAGTTTATATTTACAGCCGAGCATTGGAACATGAGCCTTGATGATGGCCGTTGGAAGGTAAGCTATTTAAATGACCCTAACCCGTACGCGACACATCGCCCGCTAGTTGCATACCCGACTTTGTGCTAAAGAACACAACAACCCACGCCCACCATACCCAACTACGACTTCCTCATGGACTTTTTTTCTCGGTACCGCCGGATTATTTACTCCCCACAGCCACTTACATCTTTCCATGAGACTCGCTCCGAGGCATTGATCAACCCCCATGGCCACACAATCGTTGAGGACTGCTTGATTGCGCGAGTCAAAGATGACACACTCGTGCAAAGTACATTGTTCCCCGGGAGAAAACTACCTCTAGGGCAACTAAGCGAGGAAGAACTACTGGCGAGATTCACTCGCGGGTTCTTTGGTGGAATCATATTTGCTGCCGAAAGATTCATCCTCGCATCTGGTGGGTGGAAGCTAATCGCAGTGCAAATCAAAGGCCAGTTTCCGCTAGAATTGCACCTCATCTTATGAAGTTCCATTAACGGGTATTATAGGCCTTACTCAACAGACTCCGTTATTTTCAGGTACACAACCGGCCAATTCCGGGTTACCACTGCCAAAGAACATATGGGATGTCACTGAAATCCCAAAGACAGCGCTGCTCCCCTTGGGTTCGATACTGTTTGGCGCATTTCAGGTGACACACTCGCATTTGGTCAATAAAACAAGGTTAAACCCTACTTCTGAAGGCTTAACAAAGATGGAATCCGCTGAGGAGAAATTTTCATATATCGACTTCGGTTTTGGGAATGGAAACTTTGCCGGCTGCCATAGACTGTCCGTTCACAGGAATGACTCTTCAAAGGGTATTGACTCTATTGCCAAAACTGCAGATGGTCGTGATGGTATGATAGAATTCCGCCTATCATGCTTCCACTGCAATCCAAGAGGGGAAAAATCGCGTCTCATAACAATGCTGTCAGGTTTTCATCAGATATATGCCAGGTTGCTTTTCACCGATGCACTGAGGCTTCTCTGCTAGTTTAGAGGTTATTCATATCCACAAACCCCAAGACTCAGCTATGCTCCAAGGTACTGCTGGCAATCTCTCCACTATTAGCGGTTTCTTCACTCGCTTGATACCCACTGTGTTTGAGCGAAGCAGGTATCGCATCATCTCCTCCATGTTGAACTCTGATCCACTGTATTAATATTTGAATATCATTCTGTAAAATTATAGTTATATGAGCACAGACCCATTCAAAACGATATATAATAATTGCAGTCCTCCTGAAACAGCAGACAAATATAATGGCGTCTCTGACTATATGGCATGATATGATCTGTCTTTAGTAGTTAGCTATGGGGCGCCACGCGGATTAACGGCAATGGGGCATGCATTTTATACGTAGTATTGCTGTTTCATAACAAGCGATTCTCCCTGACACTCCCACAAAACTGTACCTGACTAGTGATGCCCTTTGTTTATTTCAATTTATTTTAATCTCAGCGGGGAAGGAGCAGAAAGCGCGCCTTCTCGTCGAGGGAATTAATATACTTTGGGAAATTAAGCTTAAACCCGGAAGGACCGGCCCGTCCGCACGTGCCTTCTTTGTCTCGTGTTATTTATAAGGATCGACCTGAGGAAAGTGCGTCAGAGAAGGAAGGAGCGACCTCATTGTTGGTTATTTAGCCCGTAGTTTATATGAGCATCACAGTTTAATTTAAAAACAGTGATAGCTAAAAGATCTAGACAGCTCAACAATCAGTTAGCTAATATGCATAAATTATTACGAAGTACGATTATAGCATTGCAGGGAACCATTTCCAAGGAAGGACTTGTAAAGCAAATAATAAGCGAAGCCAGGCCCTAGTCAGCACAGCAGGGCATGAGCTATAAGTTTGTCATCATATAACAGGGAGCGGCAAAGCTGGAGTCCGTCCAAGAAAAACGAAAGAGCCGTTTCCACCCCGGTCAGGACCCGGATTATTACATCTCCACAGATCATCTCTATAACTGATTCACCACCCCCACTTCCTGATAAAAACCTTTGACCTTGTTGGTTTCATATGAGCCTGGAGAGAATGCAAATAAGTAATCCGTATGTACTTGTACGATGTCAAGCCGTCACCTGCAAGCCATCTACGGAGTACATATACGAATTATGGATCACCATCGCATGTGCGGCAAAAGACAGCTCCCTCGGAGATTTGGCCTCCACTGGTGTGATGTATCGATTTTGCGACTCAAGGCGGCAAACCCACCTTGCCAGCAGTGCATAAATCATACATGTGGAATAAATGAGTTTAACCGAAGTGAGCAGGCTAAGTTTGACAAAGATTCTGGGGGACCGCCGTGTGATCTGTCGAAATGCATGTGCCTGGCGTGTCCCGGATTGCTCGGAAGGCTGCAACTTTGGCTGTCTGACTGCAGCTTGGCATAAACCCAACTGACATTGATGCTGATCAAAGTGTCTCTTTAATTAAAGTGTAATCGTACGACCAGCCAACTATCCAGTTATGGGAGGGGAGTTGATGGCACAGCGGCCTCCCTGCGGTATAGAACTATCGAAGTTAAAGAAGTTATGCAACCATCAACTCAGAAAAGCCAGCCTGATACCCTAAGAGAGAGAATAAGTGCCATATAAATTAATCAATTTAATATTTCTTTGCGGAGTACTTTTTTTCCAGGGGTCTAATTTTCTAGTTGAGGAGGTATTCTAGGTCATCATCTTCAAATGCTCCTCTTCGAGCAACTAGTGGAGAGTTCGCCGTTATCGACGGGTAATCGTGAGCATCAAGACACGCTTTGCGGCTTCGAAGAACTGCTGGTCTGGTGCGGGTGGTCATCTCATCTTCATATTCGTTGATCGCTTCCTGCTGTGTCTTTGCGGGAGAGTGTGGCGACGATGTGAGGACAGGAATTAAGGCCTCTAGCAAGTTGGATACATCGAGGATACCGTGATTCCCTGCTTCACCACGAACTATAAGAGTGGCCATTAGCTCAGAATACTTGTGGCCACGGGAGGAAATAGACGGATACACTCACACATTGTCATCGCATGAGCAGAATCTCCGACTAGAGTTGCTGTGCCACCAAGATTGCTCCATGAGCCCTTCGGTGGGGTCGGCCAGTCTTCCAAGGAGATGATCTTCGGCTCTGTTTCTTCTGGGATACTCTGCACGACCTCACGGAACGGTTCTACCCATCCATCGGCCAGGGAGTGCATAAGTTTTATCTTATCGACGTTCTGGCATGGAATCTCTATGTTGTTAGAGCCATCCTTACGGTACGGCCAGCTAATCAATATCTGACATTCATATGTATCACGGTCCTCGCGGTCATTGTTAGTCGGGGTATCAAGGAATGAGAACCAGAAGAAGTTACTGGTAGCTGGGTCGCCGGCCTGCAAGAAAAACGGATCTAGGGCTCTCATCTTAAGGGCGACCCGCGAAGGCAATGCAGCGCTGACCCCGATGAGACGGACGGGGAGTTGATAGTTCTCTGACCTGGCTGGAGTTTCATTACCAGCCAGAGAACATAGCAATGAGCGGGTCTTTGATCGAGAGCCATCACATCCTACCAGCAGGGTTCCTTTAGCACTGGAATTATCTGAAAACTGGCAGCGTACTGCTGTTTCTGATATCTGGCTGATACTAGAGATAGATTTGTTCCACTGACAAGCATTTAGCAGTGTCTCTAAATCTTATAGATTGAAAAAAATTGCCTTGACTTACCTGAACATCAATTCCATCCATCAACAACCTACGCAGCCGCTCCCTCGACACCCTCAGTCGCTTTGCTGGAGGAACTTTCCACTTAGTCTCTCCGGTCCTAAGGTCAAACAGAAGGAAGTTCCCATTCTCTCCTCTTGCAACCGCGTCTGGGTCGACGTAAGTCTCTGGCAACCGATCGACCAGATGCTGTGGTAAAAGCCGAAGGAACGCATCAAGAGACCAGTGTATCGTCAGCCCCCAGCCTTTGCCACGGTGCAGAGGGTCGGGATCTCGCTCATAGACGGCGAAGGACACTCCGTGTTTACGCAATGTCTGAGCGAGAACGAGACCTGTGATACCTGCGCCTATGATCAGGACATGAGGCGGCGTGGACGTGGACCCCATCTTTAGCCGGCCTTTTGCTTCTCGAAACCCGCCGATGTTTTTCTTTTTAGTTATGTTCGTAGACAGTCAACTGTTTATGCTCCACGGAAGCTCTGATACAGGCCTGGAGATGATATCCGGCAGCGATATATGATGTTTGTGGGAATATGAAGCGACCGGGTGGAGAGCAGCCGCTCTTGATGAAATGACGGGCTGTCCGAGTGAGCAATGGAGCAAAGAGGTCCGAACGGCGACTGGGATGCCGGCTGTAACGGAGGATCCAGCGTGTGTAGCTAGCTTGACTCCTCCTCGTACAGGGATGAACCCCCGGGTAAAACTTATGCCCTCTAGGTAAAAGGGCCGGGGAGATCGCTCTCGGCTCGCACCCGGCAGTTCCTGGCCTGAACTATGAGGTTATCATAGTTGAAACGGGCGGCGTTCGATATTTTTCATTTTCTATGGCGGTCTTCGTGCTCCCTGCGAGCTGGGTATATATGCTGTGCCTTGTCTTTGACACGGCCATCTTGCTGCACCTCGTAAGAAGCACAGAGTGAATTTGCGACCATGGCTAGATACAGCATTGCAGAGAATGCTATTAATACGACCTTTCTTCTTGTTTGTCTTAGTAGCTGGTTGTTTAGCTGGTGGAGATGGTGAGATGATTTTGAGTCACAGATATTTCGTTTAGGGGTTGGTGTCTATTAAGTAACAAACTAGTCAACTAACTACCACGTAGTTAACCACGGAGTTCTTTGACGAGAAGAAAACTAAAATAGTGACCCAGATGGTTGCACTTTTGGTAGCGCTCGTGATTGAACAGCAAGAGAGAGAAAACAATAGTATATACAGGGTATATCGAGGTATAAAAACGTGTATGAAAGTACTAATATCGTGAGAAAGAGAAGGACATTGCTGCCATGACCGGACATAATAAAACGTTCTAGAAACCAAGGCCCGAACACCTTTTAAAGATACCCATTTTTTCTCCCTATTCGCGAAAATGAAGCATGGAGACAGAAGAGCAAGCTTAAACAAGCTCAATGAAGCCAACTTTGTTCAGGGCCCGGCCGGTTGTCCGTCCGGGTGATCTCCACCTGGACAGTCTTCGTTATATGGCCAGGATTGGAGAGGTGTACATGGCTCTGTGATCCGTTTCCGTTGCAGGATTCCATGTCTTCTCGCTGGATGGGCCGCCCTTGGCTGTCCACCGGGAGAATCGCCTCTAGAGAGCTGAAACTGCCCGACTTGACTAGAGTGTTGTTGCCAGTCGGGATGGTTTGGGATCGCATGGTCGATGAGTGCAGGCCGACGGATTTGAGCTTGACTGAAGTGCCGGCGCTGCGGCCGTCGGAGGTACTGTGAGGATACTGCATGGGACCGCTCTTGGATGATCGGCCTCGCATGAAGGTGATTAGTGGTATGAGAGTGGGCAGACAGGTTATGGCGATCTGGTTAGTTGTAACAGAACTATGTTAGCCTCTTCTGTGTCTGGCAATCTGGCAAGCCGTCGTATTCGTGTTTGACTTACTCCGACGTTCAGCTCGATGGTTCCCCAGAGGATAAGCATGGTAGAGTTTCCGTCCTTTGCGATTATCTCAATCTGTACCACTCGCATAATCGAGCAGGCTGTGGTGAACAGGCCAAGCAGGAAGACGGCCATCAGCCCCAGTTTACGCGGCGTGCTGATGCGTACTTTCAGCCATAGCGGGATGGGGGTAAGGAAGACAATCAAATCACAGAAGATTGATACTCCCGCAAGAGGGTAGAAGACAGCAGGATTTGGCAGACACTTTCCCGGTGTCAATGGCCGCCATGACTTGTGCACGGGTGAGCACTGGAAGAAGAGAACGAGAGTCCCGGCAACATGGGATAAGACGGTGAATATCATAATGCCCCAAACGACGTGGCGGTAGGACTTTTCTGAACTATGGCGGATGATGCGTAGATATGCGATACACAGGGCCACTTTGAAGCCGGTGATGCCAGCCATGTAGAACGGGCGGCCAGCGAAGTTGACCTACATGAGCAAACAATCAGTTGTGGATGCTTATAGTCATCTCATGTGGTAAATATCATTACTTACGGTAGCATATGTATTCAGACTCGCCTTTGGACGTAGTTTGAGAGGAAGACCGAGACCTAGCCGGGACTGAGTTATGCACAACGCACTGTAGATGATCCCGCATACCTAAAGGACTCGATATCAGCAAGGGTAAGATAAATGGAGGGGGAATATCTGTATAACTATACATATAGCTGCATAGTTATATAGATACATACCGCCGAGGACACAATGACAGCATCATCAACGCCAAAGCTCTTCTTCCACACAGCACGAACCCAGATCCGGAGACAGACCACCACGGTCATGACAAAGGTGAGAGAAATGCATACCGCGAGGATGGTTGGATACTGCGAAATCGCATTGACCTCCGGTGAGACATAGTACACCCACTGCTGCATCAGGCCGGCCTTTCTGTTGGTAGCACCAGACACCGTCTTTCTTCAGTGTCTTCTTTGTCTTTGGAGGAGAAGTAGGGAGAATATCAAGACGTATATTCTTCGCAGGTATATATATCTCAGAAGGATGTATGCCTAGTGGCAGAGCAGAATAGATCCAGGGACTGACTCTAGAACAATCAAAGTGGAAAAGGAACGACCATCATGGCGGGCGCGGGACCTGCAGGCCGTCATATTTGTACTTGATCAATCCATGCCCTGTAATGCTGCCTTGAGGGCCTTTGGGGGTCCGCAGGAAAAAGCAAACCAGATGCATAAATAGGCATCTGGTTTGATGAAGCTTTGGGAGAGCTCATCGAGCGGCCGGGATAGGGGATGTTCAGAAGAAACTGTGCAGATTGCAAACGAGCCTGGGTGCGACCCCATCCGCGAATCACACTGGAAATTGTTCGATAGGCTGACTTAGTGAATTCTCGTTGTCAGTTGCTATGTTTTTTCTTCTTCTCATTTCTCTGCCTGCTTGCTTTTTCTTCTCCAACTGCAAAAGCTGGACCTCTCTGGAGTCTTGATGCGACCTCCATACGAGGCGATCCCCATGTCAATCGTGTCCTAAAAATGGAGTCGATCAGCAAGAAAGTCGTTCTTTTCCTCAGGCATCAAGTCGTGCATCAGTGTTACTTTCGCTTATAAGACATCAAGCACTTCGACTTAACTCTAGGGAGCACTCCGTAAATACTACTCCATAACTCCATAGGATGAGGGCGTTTGATATCCATAGCTACGGCGGACTAAATGGACCATCGGGTCAAAATTCATTATAAAACCAACTTACATAAAAACACGCAGAAAAGTGGTTTTCTGATTATATAATTAAGAAGTAAAGAGATATTATTGGATAATAATATAGAACTTAATTACTAAATAGAACTCCCTATATTTTATTTTACTTACCTAAGCACCTTTTTCCTTAAGGGCACGTCCTTTCTTCTTCTTTAGCCCACGGCCTGTCTCCTCCCTAAGCTAACTCCCTAGTCTAGATACTCTCTCTCAAGCCTACCCCTCTAAGCCTTCCCGCTAAGCCAGCGAGACTTAAGTAAGAGAAGCCTCTAGTAAGAGAAGCCGAGAGAAGATATCGGGAGAATAGGCTTAGAAAGGAGTAGACTTAGGGGAGGAGGTAGGTATAGCGGGAAGGCTTAGGGAGAAGCTAGGCCGTGGGCCAAAGAAGAAGGAAGAGTGTGCCTTTAAGAAAAAGGTGCTTAGATAAGGTATATAAAGTATTTATCTATATAAGAAGGTTTTATTTAAAATATCTCGATTATCATTGGCTACGTGGAATTATCTCTTACAAGGCAAAAACGAATTCTGACCCGATGGTCCATTCAGTCCGCCGTACTAGCGTCGGTATTACGGAAACACTCCGCCGGCCAGAAGAATGTAACACATTGTCGAACGACTGAGAGTATGACTACTCCGTATGGAGTATAGACGGAGGAGAAGATAAACGGCCGGACAGAAACAATTGGCCTCTCCGTGCTAAGCGAGCACATGCAGCAGTAGCAGCGCAAGGAGATCTTCATCCTTGACCAGATAACTGTGGCCAGATATCAATTGATATTCAGCATAATAACTATACCCAGTTATACTTCAAAAAAAGCACGAGTGTCGGTATCTGCGGAAGAGGTCCAAGGCCTGTTTACCAAGAACGCCGTCACAAAAAGGCGGACTTGGACTAGAGCATGAGGCGGCCTTCCATCGTATTCCGACGAAGAGTCTGATGGGCCCCTTGGAATTGCTTTCTGACCAGTAACTAAGTAGAGCAAGGACCGAGTCTGTCCTGGTCCCTGGGACACTCTAAACCCACATGTGCAGGCCTGAAGGGGGACGACGGTCCGGACAAGCATGGATAGATGCGAGTCAAAGTTCTCTCTTGACGGGAAGGGGGGGCGTTTAGTGGCCCCTGGGGATCTTCCCTGGGGCCTCTTCTTGGTGAGCCTCTATAGGCATGCTTAAATGCAACTTTTATAGCCATGGCTTGCTTGGGAGGCAGGGATGATGGGAGCCAGTGAGCATCGTTCCAGTGGCAAGCAGGGGATCCTTCGGGGGACGCTAGAATTGCGCTGGGCCTTCCTCCTTGCTACTCTTCTTCGTCTACGTCTTGTCGAGATGCTACCCTGCCCCCTCTAACGGAAGTCTGTCCAGAATGTATGCATATTTTAGCAGTCCTAGCAGTCCTAGCGGTCCAGGGGGGGGAGACGGGTGGTCCATGGTGGCCTGTCCTATCATCTGCCGGGTCGGACGCCGTGCACGCCAGATAACGCCAGGGATGGGCGATAAAGATACGGGAAATTTCAGTGCGTCCGGAGCGTCTGTCCCTCTCACAAGTCTTTTTGAAACCTGCATGTCGTCTGGTCTCTGTGGTGCCGTTTGTTGACCTGATAACTAGTTAGCTGCAGGACGGTATCCATACTCCGGGAGGTAGCTGGAGGCGCCGCGCAGGACGAACAGAGGAAGTAGAAAAAAGAAAAACAAAACCACGTTTATGGCCGTCTGGATCTTCTTTAATTTCTTTCGGTTTCTTTTTTCCTTGCAAATTTCCATCTCCGAGTCCTGCAACTCCCCTGGTTGTTGTTGCTGTTGCTGCTGGTTGCTGCTGTGTTGATACCGCGAGCCAGCGCTTCAAGATGGCCTCTGAAGACTCCGAAAAGTCGCCCGTCGAGCAGAAGACGGGGCTGGACAAGGAGATGCCGGTCACTTCCGGCGCATCTCGAGATCTCGACCAGGCGTATCGCTTCTTGCAGCAGTATGGGGAGTCCGGGGAGAGTGCGCAGGCCAGCGCTGCTGAGCTGAAGCGCATCCGCTGGAAGGTCGACCTCTACATCATCCCGATCATGTTTGTCTGCTACACCATGCAGTTCATCGACAAGGTCTCGCTCAATGTGAGTTCATCTTCTTGTTTCTTCATTTCGTGTAGATGCGTTGTCGCAGAGATTAAAGGATGTCTTCTATAACTTAGTACGCAGCTGTTATGGGCCTCAACAAGGACCTCAAGCTCAAGGGGAACAACTTCTCAAACGCCGCCACGGCCTTCTTCATCGCATACCTCATCGCCGAAGTCCCAACCGGTAGGCCCCCTGTAACTGTGGAGTGCTATGATGTGACTGATCATGTCCGATGCTAATTTATGTCTGTAGGATACATTTTGAACAAGATATCTGCGCCCAAATGGCTGGCGCTCAACGTCACGCTCTGGGGCATATCAACCGCCTGCACAGCGGCTGCCCGGGACTACAAGACCCTGCTCGCGGCTCGCATCTTCTTGGGCATCTTCGAGGCTGCCATTGCGCCCTGTCTGGTGCTCATCAGCAGCCAGTGGTACACCAAGTCCGAGCAGGCGCCGCGATTCTGCATCTGGTACTCGGGCCTGGGCCTGGGACAGATCATCGGCGGCCTCGTCTCGTTCGGCTTCCAGCATGTCAAGAACCCCGATTTCACCGGCTGGAAGGCCATGTTTGTCGTCCTGGGCGCTGTCACTTGCGTGGCCGGCATCGCGACCTACTTTATCATTCCAGACAGCCCCATGAAGGCGCGCTTCTTGACCGAAAAGGAGAAGGCCGCCCTGCTCAAGCATGTCTCCTGCAACCAGACCGGAGTCATCAACACCAGCTTCAAGATGGCCCATATCATTGAGACGCTTCTCGACGTCCAGATCTGGTTCATGACCATCATCACTACCTTGGTAGGTTGGCATACTCCATCGTTCATGCATGTGTCGTGTGTTAATCAAAATATTATTGTAGATCTCCGTATCGAGCGGAGTGGTGACGACCTACTCGGCCACCCTGATCAAGAGCTTCGGCTACTCTGCTCCTAGATCTGCCCTGCTCAACATGCCCAGCGGTGCCGTATCCATCATCAGCACTGTCGTCATCGGCTTCGCAATCCGCTACAAGTTGTACCGCTCCGTTGGCATTGTAGCCTGCTGCATCCCTGGAATTATCGGCGGTGCTTTGCTTTCCTTTGCGCCAGAGCACAACCAAGGAGCTCTCTTGGCTGGCATCTACCTCGTCAACTCCATTGTTCCAACCCTCATTGTCATCTACCAGTGGCTGGCCTCCAATGTTGCTGGCAGCACCAAGCGTTCTGTCAGCGCTGCCCTGGTCACCGCGAGTTTCAGCATCGGGAATATCATTGGGCCCCAGACCTTCCAGGCAAAGGATGCCCCTCGCTACATCCCAGCCAAGATCGCCGTCCTGGCTACTCAGGCCTGTGGAGCTGTGCTCGCAGCCTGCCTGCTGGGCTACTACATCTGGGAGAACAAGCGGAGGGACCGGGTTGCGGCGCAGAACTCCCAGGCCCTGCCCGTCTCGGAGGATACCACTCTGTCCCAGACCACGTCCGCCGAGCAGAAAAAATGGGACAACCTGACTGACAAGGAGAACTTGACTTTCAGATACGTCTACTAGGAGGGATTTCTACATCTAACAAATTACAGGTATCTATCCTTTTTATGGTTGTTTCATTTCGCCCTTATTCGTATCAGTTGTCCTTCAATGCGCCAAAAGAACCATTTATTGTATATATTTATTCCCTGGAGACTTCAGCTTAATCTCCTTTCTTTTCTCGCATGATTGACTCCCAGACTGTCAGAATCGATGAAGAAGAGAAGAGTACATAGTCTTGACCGTATAAAAATAGAGATATAAGCTATCTTTGCTTGCTGCGACCCCTTGAGAAAATACGAGCACCAACACGAAGACCCAGCAACACGCAATTAAGACTAATTGATAGCGTTACTTATGTGCATCAATGGTCTCTATGCAAATGTTGTTATTCTTACACTTAAACTATACGACGTCGTAGAGTATCATCAGATCCGTACGAGGCGGACGCTCGTGTTGCGGATATTTCGACCTTCAAGGCGCTAAGTCGGATGCAATTACACACCTACCGCGGGCATTTACGTAAAGGACGAGCAAACGGCGAGCAGAGATTTTGCCGTTTGCTTGAAAAATCAAAGGTATGCGCATCAGGAAAGGGACGGGAGGGGAGGTTATGGGTGTATACGAAGGCTCAATGCGGCCGTACCTGGATGATCCCTGGAGCCTCAGGCCAGGGGGAAACTCGAGGCCTTGGAACATGCATACAATCATTGTTGTGGAATTGATATAGCCTATATGGTGTGCATATTGTGGCTTGCAAAAGATACCATGTCCCAAGCAGTCCGTTATATGAAGGAGAAAAGTGAAAGAGAGAGAGAGAGAGACCAAATTCAAACCACGATGCGAGTCCATCATGATACCAGTCCGGTTATGAACCAGTAGAAGAAAAGGGGAAGCGGGAAAAAGCAGAACATGCCGTGCTGTCACCAAAATGGGAAAATGGATGGCTATGTTGAAGAAATAAAGAGAGGTTTATTTGCTTTTCCCCTTCTTCTTACTAGCTGCTGGTCCCAAAGCAGCAGCTCTCAGCTTGGCCTCTCTGGCTTCTCGTTCCTTAGCCTTCTCACGCTCTCGTTCTTCACGCTCTTCTTTCTCGGCCTCTTTACGGGCCCTCTCGGCTTCACGACGCTCACGAACGATGGCCAGACGAGCCAGGTCGGCACGAGCCTCGTCTGTCTTGCCCTCGGAGTGTAGCTTCAGATATCTCTCTCGAGCCTGCTGGGCCTGCAGAGCCTCTCGTTCACGGCGAGAAAGCTGTGAGACATCTGTTTTCTTTGCGGCCGAGGCGGCCCCGTCGGCTGGGGCGGTTGCTGCCTTCGCCGCCTGGTTACGGGCTTTGGCAGTGTGGTTTGGGTTGGCTGGCATGTCATCGTCCTCCTCGTCTTCTTCACTGTCACTCGGAGGCAGGTCTCCTGGCTCGGCTGCCACTTGTCGCTTCTTACGAATGGCAGCCTCTTTTCTGGCTTTGGCGGCGGCTTTACGCTGCTCACGAGTCATTTCTTCCTTAGCAGGGCCCTCATCTTCGTCCTCCTCGGACTCCTCCTCTGACTCTTCCTCTTCTTCTTCCTCCTCTGAGGACTCTACCTCCTTGTCCTCCTGTTATACGTCAGCACACCAATCTTGTACCTGGAAGCTTGCGTATAATAGATATCACTAACCCTCCACATGCCTATCGGGTCTCCATTCTTATCCAGTGGCTGCAGGTCTCGGCTGAAATGCTTGCCCCCTAGCGTCAACAACTAGAATATTAGCATCCGTATCTTATATATATATGCGATAAAAAGGACAGGCAGACCTACCTCCTCTCGTCGGCTTGCTGAACTTCCCTCCACGTCCGCGAGGCGCCATGATTACGCGTGGGTTGTATGTGTAAGATAGGCGGGGGTAGTTAGGTCGATTATACTTGACTAGTCGTTGTAGTTCAACGATCCAGGGCCGAACGCAGAGTAAAACAACCACCACCGACGCTGTCAGCAACAGAACAGGCTCGACAGAAAGGAGAGAACGAGCAAGACGAAAGAAAAGACGACGACAAAGCAGCAAAACTTCAACCAAAGAAACAACCACGAAAATATCGTGATCAAAATATAATATAAATCGAGTCACGTTTTTTCTTTCTTTCTTTTCTTTTTGACGTTTTTTTGGAGGGGGCATCACGTGAGACATCCGCTTGTTTGCACTGTTTGCACTTGCTGCTAATTCAATGTTTCTGATTGGCTGTTCAGATCCTCTTATTTTCATGCATTCTGATTCGTCAGTTTTCTTTCCTTCAACTTCACTCCAAACTCCGTAAGTTGGAGAGACATCAAAGACATCAAAGATATCAGCATCCAGGAATAAAGAGAGTCACTGTGAGACATTCACTCTTTGGAAGGTCAACCTGCAGTGTCCCATTCAATAGTTATACCAGAAGCACAGTCACTGCTTGGATGGAGAGACATAAAAGGGGCCATAATTTCGCCTGCTTCATCCTCTGGCTATTCTTATTATACCCGCTACTTCATATCCCGCTATCTGCTGTACCCTATATACATTTCGGGCAGACACTTTGCTATTTACAACGGGATGCCATCACAGTACCCGTGTAGAGATTATAGAGCCGTTTTCGAGTCTCCCAGATGCAACTGGGTCTATAATTCCGACATATATGATCACGATGGTAGAATTGGATGGTTCTAAGCATCTTAGCGCCCAGACATTAGGTCACTATATGGCGAGAAGAACCTCCTTATCTATCACCAAGAACGAAGAACCCAAGCTTAAAGTTATTCCGGACAACCTACAGCTACAGTTATATATTAAAACGGACCAGCAACCCTAACGTACCCACTAAAGGGTCCGCTGGCATTCATGCTCCTGTGTCTGTCTGTTTCTATCTTGAAGCTCCTACCCAACTAAAACGGTCTCCTCCCTGTCCATGTCGCTCGACGACTTCGCGGATTGGAGTTACGATCCGAAGCGGCGACAATCTCATCTTTGATAAAGACGGAGAGCTAAAATCTCAAGAAGCAAACATTCCCCATGAAGAGGGCCAGTTTGAAGAACTCATGGAATCGAGAGAGCTTCAATACTCTTCGATCGGAACTTCTTCTCTTCTCTTCTCTTCTTTACTGTGCTAAATTCCCATTCCGTGCTCTCAACCTCCCGAGCAAAAAAGGACCTCATTGAAGAACTAGAGATTTTTGGGGCAATGTGGGAGTATCGCAATATAAAGACACGGGCAATCGACACACTTGCACACGGCTTCCCGGTGCGTATGTTCAAAAGATCGTAAGCAGTACATAGCATCAACCCAACGGTGTTAGCCCACTGGGTCTCTTGTTTATTTGCCCGAAGGCATATGAACGCATGTCCGCGAACTAAAACAGAGTTTCAGCCGTGGAATTCGAAGATGGGACGCTGCATCTGGCTTCATTAGCCGTATCTAAATCTTCTTCCGAATTGGTCCAGTCGACATTTATACCAAAACCTGCGAGCCGTTCACCGACAGGCAGCCTTACTTGAATTCTCAGCGAACGCGAAGAGGCTTCAATTGATGTGGATGAAGACGTATGTTAATTGGAATTCTAATTCAAGTTAGATTCATACTAATAGCCGAATAGGAGTATCTATGGGCAGTAGATTTTTACATTCAGATTGGTGCTCCATGCCTCAGAAACTTTCAAGAAGCTCCCTGAATGTTTCCAAAAACGACATCGACACTGCGGTCAGTGCCGATCGCACAGTCATCTCGAACGAAGGCAAACACTTCATTATAGCGTTTGTCCTGACGCCAGATTCCAGCTCAGGTCCTCAATTCGAATATGCTTGCTGAACGTACTGCTGCGGCTAACTAATGTGCGGCCAGCTTGTTACCTTCTCCTTATATCTACAAAATCACAGAGTATCACCAATGCGTAAAGATTTACGGCCTTAGTTGTTTTGAGTACTGATGAACAAAGGTGGCTTGGAATTGGCTGATTATCATCTTTTGGTTTCTCAAATTATGTCAAGGCTCCTGGTACATAGTGTACAGCTGGGGCATGACACTGGACGATCGATATTTCTAAATACTCGATATATAAGTAGACATTACCTTCGCTACATTCTTCTGTATATGTTTATATGCAGAAACCTAAACTACAACAGCTTGTTAGTTACTCCAATATTACAAGATCAACACAGACGAGACTCCACATACCTCGACTCCAGATAATACTTTTGAATATATAAAAGAACGCAGAGGTTAACCATCAAACTCTCGCTTTGAGCTTCCATCCAACTACTTTTGACCGGGATAACAGCAAGACGGCGAGGCTGAGGAACATTGACAAACCAGCAAAAATCTGGGCGTATAGAAAGTCACCATCCCTCAATGCAATCAACGCACCAGCGATAGGCGAACCTGTCAAGGAAGAAAAGCTTACAATGCTCAGCGTCATCCCGAATCGGATGCCGCTCTTCTTCAGATCCGTTGTGAGACTTGTTAGGGCAGAAGGGAATAACGCCTGTATTCCAGCGGCGAAGAACCCATAAGTGATAGAAAATGCGTATAAGTTGGGTTCCCTTTTCACACCGATCCATCCGAATAACGTTGCTCCTGCCACAACAGTGCATGGTATAAGGGCATTTATAGGGCCTGATTTCCAGTCTGAAATATAGCAGGGTATGAGGCGACCGAAGATACCGCAGCAGTTTATTATGAGGATCAAGTTTATGGAATCTTTTTGGGACAAGCCGATTACATTACGGCCGAAGCTGCCAACATAGAAGAAGGCTATGTACAGGGCCCAGAAATTAAGGAACATGGCCACTGCATATAAAGAGTAGGCAGGTTCGCGGAACGCCTGAAGTTCAAAGAAGGGACCCGTTCGACGGGGAGGTATGCGTTGGCGAAGGAAGAAGAAGCCAGGGGTCAGCGTTACGGCGGTTATTAGGCCAATAACTCGCATGGTCCATCCAAAACCAATCTTGGGGAGCAGTTGTTGCACGAGTACCGGGTAGACAATGCCTCCTGTTGCACTACCGGATGCAGTGATGGCGATTGCGAGGGACCGTCGACGTGCAAAATAAGAGGTTAGAAGAGCCACACTGGGACAAAATATAAGACCACTTCCTATTCCCATGCAGACGCCCTGGGAAAGAAAGGTTTGCCAGTATGTTTTGCACAGCGAGGTCATGAAGAGTGAAAAGATAATTATCACGGCACCTGCAGACCAGACAGCCTTGAAGTATCCTGCATCTGTTGCCCGACCTGAAAATGTCCCAATAAAGAAGAGAAGGAAGATCTGAGTTCCGCCAATCCATGATATGTCGGAAGGTGACCGTTTCAAGGCTTCAGTATAGTATGACTGGAATACACCAAATCCGTTAACGAATCCCCATGTATTGAAGATAACCATGTGGGTAAGAGCCACTTGTAGCCAGGCGTGGTAGCCACCATCTGGAGGTGGGCCAGGATCCCGGTTGGACTCTCTTGTTCGAACAAGGGAGAGAGTCTTTTCTAGTACTCCTGGCCGTTCTACCGTTTTGGTGGGTACTTTGGATATTTGGTTGACATCATGATCATGATCCGAAGATGACCCGGATTGTGTCTGAGAACCACCTTCTTCCGAGGGTATTTCGGCGAAGGAGGAGATAGGAATGGCCTCAACTGCCTTCTCCAGGTCCTGCGCTTCAATCTCCTGCGTAGACGACTCTGCACTCAGTCCCATCCCCTTGATATCCTTTTGAAATCTGATGGTATATCAAGTTTGATAATGACTATGCAGAGATGTGATTTTATGGCTAACTTTATGACAGTGAAAGTCTTGCTTGTCTAGGCAGATAGTTAGCAACGATCACTACGTCTATGACATATATGGATTGACTGGGTTAAGTACCGATGAAAATATTTATCAGACCGGAATCAGACTCTGATTACGAACGCAAGGAGCCGAATGAAATCTTGCGTCCTCAACTTGTATTTATTGTTTTTATCCTTTCTGTAGATATGAAGATTAAATGTTGGTCAATGAGGTATTTTTGACCTGATACTGCAGCTTCATGCAAAGCGAGTTGTAGTTAGCTAACTGGTAATCGAAACTGTTAGCAATTTTCGACTCATCCAGGAATCGATGTCAATGACCCAACTTGTGCATTTTATCTCCAACCATGGGTCCGACCCTCTAACCGACCCACAGTTAGACTTGCCAGGGTCAAGGTGGGAGATATGTAAGCAGTACAAACCGGCCCGTAAACGGGGCTGGCCCGTTCCTATAAAATCGCAGTCTCCGGCTAACCATCGTCCTTTCTCGTTTCATCCTCGTCACGAGGAGGAGATGCACGCCCTTCGAGCACTGACAAGTTTCGGGTCGAACGGCACAGGCAAGCAGCAAGAAAAGGGGGAGATGATAGTTAATGCCGAGATGACTAAAGGAACGAGAATAGAGGAGGCGATATGCAAACTGATAGCCGTGGCCCAATCGGGTGAAGGCCGCCGGTAAGAAGAGAAAAGCCACGGTCGAAAAGCCGTATTCCGCTGATGTCAGTGCTTGGTATCAAGTTGGCTGGAGAGGATGTTCTGGCCAAGATAACTGATTACAGCTGCAGGGCCGGGCAAGTTAGCAAACATTTTCTATGACCCTATCGGCAGCTTTTATATGCCAATGACTCCTCTGCCACCCGAACCTCTGGGCGGAGTTTTTGCCGCCGGTCGTGTTAATTTAATATTGTTGGAACTCTGTTGGTGGACGCAAGATCTTATCAGCAACCAAAAAAAAAAAGTAAAGTCAAAATAAGGAAAAAATAAAGTTTCCACGTGGGGCTTCTTGGCACTTGGCTTTTACTGAGGGAAGTTTTTGGGGTTGAAGAAGTCGATGGAGACGAGAGGAACAACGAAGAACTCCGTACAACCGTCACCAACAGCAAGGGGCAGGGTTTGAGTGCAGCAATTTCGTTATATGGGGCAGCAGCTATGCACAAGGTCGATGGATCTCCGGATGGTTACCTTCAAAGGGCAAATTCCATATCTCTGAAGGGCGCTTTCACCATACAACCTGCGCGGTCAGATCGAGATATCCAAGCCACAATTACGTTGATCAAGGCATATACTGCATCCCTGGGAGTTGACTTGGCCTTCCAAGGCTTTGAGAATGAAATGGCTTCGTTCCCGGGGAAGTACTCTCCTCCTGATGGAGAGATACTACTTGCAATTGACGATGCCTCCGAAGAAGTACTGGGCTGCATCTGTTTGAGACCATTGGTACCCAAGAACTTCTCGCCCGACAAAACAGTCATGTCCGTTCCAGCGAAAAATGCAGTCAACAGCGGGAAACGCTATTGCGAAATGAAACGGTTGTATGTTCTTCCCTCTACCAGAGGCAGAGGGGTTGGCAAAGCGCTAGTGTTGGCTCTTCTGCAAGTTGCGCAGGACAGAGGATATGACGAGATGAGACTTGATACTCTTCGTCACATGCATGCTCCTATTGAACTGTATAGGAGTATGGGGTTCAAGGACATTGACAAATACTATGAGACACCGCTGGACAACACGGTATTTCTAGGGTTGGAATTATAGACAGACGGTATGTTAGAGAAATAGACGGCTGCATTGGTTTGGTTTATTGATGGTTATGATCTCAACATTCTCATCTAAATGCTCTATTTCAGAAAACGGCACTTTGGCGTCTTGCTGTGTAACCTGACCTTTAATTTTTTTTTTTTTTTTTTTTTGGTCAACATCCGGTATATCATTCGCTTTCTCGTAATGCTCCACCCAGGAGAATAAGTCAAAACAACTCAACAGCTAAAAGAAAACGCGGAGGAATAGCGCAGTATGGAAACGAGTCAATGCAAATGGATCGAGTGGTAGTACCGTAAAATAAGTATTGAAAGCAATACAAAGACACTAAGTGAAAGACAAGGAAAACAAAAGCATCTCCTCAATACTAAAGCTGGCTGCCACAAAGCGATAACCCCAAGCTGATGGGCAAATGTATAGGTATGCAGTGATAGAACAATCTCTATAGTGAAGACACAACAGGTACCAACAATGTGTAGTTTATCAAAGTTAGGATCTGGGCATGTCACTCTAGGACAGCCGACTTGCTGTTATTTAGCAGTGTCACCGTCGAAATCACGTCAGCAGGCTCACGAAGATGCCAGCTGGCTTGGGTCTGCTTAGAGCTAGCGCCAACTGTGACGGAGAAAACATGATCAGGAGGCAGATCGGATGATTTCAAAGCTCGGAACATATCTACATATTGGTTAGTTAATTTGCACAATTAAAACAAGAGGACAGGAAGATAGAGACATACCTTCGTCAGTAAAATCATCTCCAAGACAGAGTACGAACTCAGGTTCATGGCCGTGAACACCGGCATACTCGTCAATGAGTCTCTTTGCAATCTCACCCTTATTTACAAATGCTGGCCGGACTTCCAGATTTGCTTTGCCCTCCATGATGTCCACAGGCCACTTAGTAGCGACTGTTCGTTCTAGCTCTGCCCTACACTCCTTCGCCTGGTGGGCGCCATACTCCGGGTCCACGGGACGATAGTGCCATGTCAAGGCTACTCGTTTCCGCTCAATAAAGGCACCGGGGGTTCTCTCGGTGAAATACTGGAAAATTTCTAGCACATCATTTTGCCAGCCCATGTTTGCTTTTGCCGCAAGATTTGTCCATTCTTCGCTCCGTGGTTTGCGGATGAAACAGCCATGTTCAGCACTAAGACCAAGTTCGGTAATATGACCCATCCACTCCTCCAAGAAGTTTTGATCGCGACCAGAAATGATCCATACTGCGTTCTTGGGGTCAGCAGCGAGAGACTTGAGAGTTCGTAAGACACGGTCCGAGGGAATAGCGGCTTGCGGGTCTTTGACGATGGGGGTGAGGGTACCGTCATAGTCAAACATGAATAGTCTGCGACGTGCGGAGCGGTACTGAGAGATGAGTTTGTGTTTGTCAAGTGCGGGAGTGATTATGGACTTGTTAAAGGACGAAAGATTGGCGAGAAGTCGTTTGAGGTACTCATCATACCATTCGACAACGGTATGTGTGGTTACATGCTCGTAGAGGGCAGACTGTTTCTTTGCCTTCGTTTCGGGTGTCATTGTGAGGGCGGTGTTGATAGCGTTAGCCACGCCGGTGAGATCCCAGGGGTTGATGTGAATAGCATCTTCAAGAATGCCTGCGGTACCAGAAAACTCAGAGAGGATGAGGGGCCCTTGGTTTTTATGCTGGCAGACCACATACTCAAGGCTGGTGGTATTCATGCCGTCACGCACACTGGTGATCAAGCCAACATCTGCAGCGCGAAGGAGGGCAAAGTATTCATGTCGAGGGAGGTACTGGGGGTAGTATTGGACGGGTGAGAAGCTGATCGAGCCGAACCGGCCGTTTATGGTCGAAACCAACTGAGATATTTGGCTAGAGAGCTTGTTATCCGGCTCCTCTTTCTGTTCTTCCATGCTCGTAGGACTAGTAACTTGTATGAGAACTACTTTGCCGCGCCATTGAGGATACCTCTCCAGGAACATCTCGAAGGCCATCAACTTCTGCGTCACTCCTCGAACTGAATCGAGCCGATCACGTCCTACAATTATTTTCTTTCCCGAATATATCGTTTTTATGTTGAAAATTGTGTTTTCAATATTTGGATCGCCATATGCTAGCTTTCGTACCGTCTGGACATCAATTCCAATTGGGAACACGTCCACTGCAACATGAGCACCGTAGGCATCAATTCCACCTTTTGTCGAGCTGAAAGCCAAAATACGGGTGCAGCAGGAAGTAAAGTGACGAGAATAAGTATGGGACTGGAAACCAATCATGTTAGCCCCAAGGGCACCTGTGAGGATATCCTTTCTCTTGGAAAGACATCGTAGGAACTCGCTGCTCGGGAAAGGGACGTGAAGGAAAAATCCGATATAGATATTTGGAACCTTCTGGCGGAGGATGTTTGGAAGCAAGAAAAGATGATAATCATGGATCCAGACGATGTCTCCGGGTTTATATGTTTCCAAAATGCGATCCGCAAACATGTTGTTGAGCCGTTGATAGTCTTGCCACCATTGTCTTTCAGACCGGCCATCGGTTGGGCCATGTTGTTTATAGTGAAAAAGGGTATATATCTCTCGTTCGGCGTAACGGCGCCAGCGGCCCTGGTCCTTCAATTGCATCTCTTGGTCCGGAGAGTCAAGCTCATCGCTCAGCCAGACGGGTAGAATATTTCCAAACTTGCTCGACGAGACCTGGCTCTCGAGACGATGGCGATCATTGGCTGTTACACGAATACCATCTATAGGTGGAGGCTGTGGCTTCTGGGATGAGTTAACCGGGATCGGGGCCCAGGGCTTGTTCGTGGGCGAAGCGATTCTATTGTTCTGAAAATTATAGGACGAATTATCTGGCAGAGATTGCTGTTCTATTTCGCCGGTCCAGCCAACAAGAGTATGGGACCAATGGGAGTCAGGGGATGCTAGGTTGGCGAACGAGTCAAAGAGCGCCGCAGTCCCAGGTCGGTGTTTAAGCTCCTATGCAAAGAGTCAGCAGTTTTCCCTTTCTGTGTAAAAGGCGGATATACTATACCCATTCTCCATCATGGTGGATCTGCAACTTATACGGAATACAAAATGCTGCGCTTATTATCCGTCCCGATAGGCCTAGATCCGGGTGCTGGTCAGGTTTGGTTGACGCCAATATCTCCCTCAAAGGTAGGGATATAGATGCGGATCTAGAATCAATATCCGTCCGAGCATCGGCAGAAAAGTTATTCTGAGCGCCGTTGGGGTTATCTGCCACGAGAGAAGGGGTTCTCTGCGTAGGAATATTCACGGAAGCGTCCAAAGCCCCAGGTGACATCAGACTCGGCCCAGCCGGAGGGCCTCCGGGGAGACTTGAAGCCATGAAACGTGAAGGCCGAAGGGTGGTATACTCTTAGAAACAGGCCAATATTCTCCGCGTAAGGTCAGGCGACAGTGAACTTGGTCGGGCGGCTGGCGGTAGAAATAGGAGAAATGGTTGGTTGAGGGGCCGAGATGATCTGTTCTACCCGCTACCCGCGTTTGACAAACGCTCAATTGGCAGGCAAGCACGGCAGGAGACCAGAGGATGTGGAGTGCTATACGTATTTAATAACTTCAGTCATAGGAAGTCCATGGGTTGGGAGGTTGCAGGCAAAGCGAGTGGCCAAGCAGGGAGGAAGTGGGCTTTGACAAGGGTCGTTGGCGGCCGATTATCAGGCTGTCGTCATTCCTGGGTGGTTAGCCTAGCTATGCAGCTCCTTAAACCCGACAGACGAGCAGCAGGGCGTTGAAGGTAGCCGATACAGAAGACCGGCGAGCCTCACGCGACAGACAGTCCTCCTATATATAAGATAATATGATAATTCACCGGGAATATAAAATAAAATATTTTGCAAAAATTGTTCGAGAAGGTAAAAAAGGAAGTCTGGATAAAGTTGGCTGCTGACTAAGCGGGCTCCCCGATAAGGGGACGATAAGGCCTTTTGAAAACCTCAAATTTGACGTCGACGACTCTTTTGATGGCGGCAAAAACAACGCGGAGGACGACGAGGACGAGACGCTAGCAGGGGAGGGTCAGATGTCGGGTTGCTCGTGCATGGCCTCGGTTCGTGCGCCGCTACTCACTGACAGCAGCTTGTTCCATGCAGCTCGGCCGGTCTTTAGCAATAGCAGACGCTTCCATGCCTCGCCGACTCTTGGGAGACACGCACCCACGCCGAAGATAAACCCGGATAGTCTTGCGGAGACCTTGGAAGAGCATAGATTTGCAAACCGGACGGTCGTACGCAGGATCAAAGTGCGAAGCCCCCCGAACTTGCTACCTGAAAGCTATGGCGGCGATAAAGTCAAAAAGGCCAGGCGCCGTGGGCCTTTGGAGCCGGAACATCTCATCAGCTCGCAACGGGAGTTGATGAAGTTACGGAAGCTGACGAGGGAGCTGGAAAGGCTAAATGAGCGCCATATGAAGAAGCTGTATCCCACGGCCCTGAAATCACTTCCACCGAAGACTGAACGCCAGGGTCCTGTACAGTGCAATTGGTTGGAGTACATGAATGGGCAGGAGTCGAAGAATGGATACACACGACTGAGCGATGAACTTCTGGCGTTCGAGCTGTACATGTCTGAAATACGGCAAGAGAAGGAAGCAGTGAGGAAAGTTATAGGAGAAATAGAGGAGATATTGAAACCTATCGGCGGTGATTCCAACCGGAGGCCGATTCTCGTTGGATCGCGGTACACAGGCATGGAAACGCGGAATTCGAATGTTGATCTTATGATTCCCATGGAAGACCCGGATGGGCTGCCCACCAGCGTACGTGGACCGAGCGTGACTCGTCCCAAAATCACGGCAATACAGATGGGCATTCTGGTTCAATCTGCTCGTCTCCTACGTGCAACCGGAACATTCTCTAATGTCACAGTCAAGAAGGAACATGTCCCTTTTGTCTCTGCTATTCATTCAGCTACGGGTCGAAGCTCACGGATATACTGTGGTCTCAAACCCCATTCAAGCATGGAATATGTCCTGGGCTATAAAGCGGAGTTCCCTACTTTACGATCATTATACATTGCTCTACGAATGGTTCTAGAGACAAGAGGAATGTTTGGCATGGAAAACCGGACCATCGACGCATACGGGCTTACAATGATGATTGTAGCAGCTTTGAAGCTGGGAGAAGGCAAATTCAGCCGTTCAGACCTCGCAAAGCAATTCATGCATGTTCTTCGATTTTATAAAGATCTCGATCTCCTTCGTTATGGTATATCCGTGGAACCACCGGCTCTTTTCAGGAAGAGAGCCCATGCTCGGGCTCGTGGTGCAGAGCCACTGCCACATGTTAGAGGACAGAAGAGCATTGCCAAGCGGTCAATCGCCAGAGGTGATAAGATGTTATGTTTACAGGACCCGGCTGATTTCATGAACGATTTGGGCATGTCGAGCTTTGACATGTCGAAGGTGAAAGATGTTTTTGGAAAGGTCCATGATGATATACTGGAGAAAGTAGAAGCATGGGATGGAGAGGCTCAGGCGGGTAAAGAGCTGGTATCTGATGCCAAGGCCGGTCTCAATGTCGAGCCTACAGAGCCGGAGAGACCTAGCCTGTTGAGATACGCCCTAGGATCGAATTATGACCATCTAGAGGTACTAAGGGATAAAGCTCTATGTGCATGTTCATGACAGCTAATGAGATATCTCATCTCACTCATATATAATATTGGAAGAAATCTCAAATCATTCGAAAGTCAGGGCATACCCCGAAGCCCGGTCTATTCCATTCTAAATCCTTATGTATTATACAGCCCCTCAAATCCAGAGGGATAAATAATTAATTAGAAGATATTTCCGAGAAAACAAAACACCCCCAGCCTTAAAATGTCTATTAATTTTGCCCAAGCCACTTAGCCAGCCATTTCCGCTCAGCAGCCTCTCTCACGCCTTCCTTAAGACCCATACCAACATCCACACCGCCCCTCTCATCAACAGCCAACCGCACCTCTTCAGCAATCATATTCTCTATCCCACCAGCACGCATAATCAACTTGTCGTCTGCAGCAAGGTACTCCGTCCACCGCTGCAGTCGAGGTCTATACAGGCCGTTGACAACCATTGTCTGCAGGAATTCTGGAACAGGCAAAGAATGTCGTTTGCTCAACCCAAACACAACGCATGATTGCAGGACTTCTTCGGCACTTAGAGCGTGTACATCCTTGACTCCACGTCGTGAGGACGGGGCAACCACCTCCCGCTGACCGGCCGATAGACCCTGTAGTGCAGCAATCTTGTACTCAACTCTCTTACTGCGCTCCTTAATCAAGTGATTAGGCATCCGGCACGTCATTGGCGTTACAAGATTGCCTATCGCAAGGACAACCAAGGGCGTAAATTCGCCGCATATGAGCAAGATGAACCCGAACGGAATCATTCTGCGCAGATCATATGCGCTGCGTCGAACGAGCTGGAAATCGCTTCTTGTAAGAGACGAGGCGCCCGTTGTAGGAGCGGTGGAAGAGGCGGAGATATCTGTCCATGGCGAGCGTGGTATGTACGCTGGTAAACCAAGTTGTTTCCGCAGCGGGATGGAAGCCTTGTAATTGCCGTGAACGTTTTTGAGGCCTGTCTTGTAAAAGCGTAGGTACGCCTTGCCCAGAGCAAAGTAATATGAGAATGTGCCCGAAGTCTGCGGGTTGTCTTTTGAAGGTACGTCGAGGAACGCGGGCCGGGTGCTCGCGGGTGCGTTGACGGGGGAGGATATGGATGTTTCTGAGGCGGATGCTGAGTGAGTTGTAGGGGTGGTGGCAGAGGATGAGGAGGATGTTGATTTGGATTTATATGGCGGTGGGAGACTGAAGCGGGCGTGGCTGGAACTGAAGGTCCTGCTTGAGGGGTAGAGGCATTGTAGGCCGATTGTGACTGTTCGTGGAGATGTGTGTCTGAGCTTGAAGGAGACAGCAGCCAGATTGCTGCTTCGAGGGAGTGTCGATATCATTGTGATATTGTACGCATGGCCCAGAATACGAAAAAGGAAGATGAAAGAAGTGAATGACCGTCAAGTTTCAAGCTGGGGATGGGACGTTCTTAAAAGAAAGGAAAAATTGCTTGATATTGCAAAAAGTTGAAATCTCCAGAAGAAAAATTATGGCCAAAAAAATAAAAACTAAGACAAGAAAGTCAAAATGCAACAAGTGGGTCTATATGCCAAGCTTTCCCGCTCCGTGCGCCATGCTTACTTAATATCAACGTCAAGCAAACCTCTATAGTCTATCCCAAGCAAATTGAGTCGAAGAATAGAAAGAAAACTGGTTGCGGAGTAGGCGGTCATTAGGTGTTAGCATAAATACAAAGCGTAAAAGAAACACAACAGAAAAGTGAAGAGACAATGTTGGCTTTGTGGTTTTTTTCTCCTTTTTTTGTTATTATTAATTTGGTGTTGTAGGAGCGAGGTTTAGTCCAGTCAAGAAAATTGGAGATTTGCGGGGAGTTGGTATTGCCACGGTTTGCATCTTGCATCAAACAATAGGGTAGGTGCGTAAAACTACCAACTACCGAGCCAGCTATGGTTGCGTCCGGTTCTCCGCGGTGCTGGATAAGATGATATTTCCCCTAAATAAGTTCGAAAAGAGACAGCACATGAATGAGAGAAAGAAAAAGGCTGAATCCCGCATAGTCCAAGGAAATAAAGAAACACCGATCGAAAGAATACATAGAACATAGCGAAAGAGACGTTGACGGCTGACGAGAGACGGTCAAAACGGTCCATGTCTTATACCGAGGGGCCCGAAAAGGCGAAAATACAAAGGGAACAGAGAATAATGCAATTTCCAGCTTCCTTTCCCCCCTAGCGTGGTTCAACGCACACGCCTCCACATTGCTTCCCGTCATTAGGGACACCATGCCCTCGACATCTACATGTCAAATTACTTCTTCTGCGAAGCCTTGGCAATCTCGGCATACTCCTCGTCACTGGCGTCAAGGATATCGTACTCTTCATCTGTGAGGAAACTCTCGTCATCCGGACACTCGCTTTCGAGGTTCAGGCTGTTGACTTCCGCAGCCAGGTCGGTGACCTCGACTGCATCAGTATCCTCATTCAGTGTAGAAGCAGAGTCGGAGACATTATCCGCAGCGATCTCATTTGGCTTGGACTGACATTCATCCTCGTGCATGCTGGTTATGGGAGATTCCTTCTCCAAAGTGGGGAAGACCATTTCTGACTTCTTCTCTGGAGATTCAGTTTTCTGTTCATGGACTTGAATGTGACACGATAGCCGATGGCCGAAATGATTTCCGTCCTCGGTTCTCAGACTCCAGAAGGAAATTGCTGTTCCAATCCGAGCAGGGGACTTCATCTCTATAGTGAAATCCATTTTTTGGCCAGGATAGACTGGCTCATTCAGAGGCTTGCTCTCCATGGCGTTAACCAAGCTGGCCAGGCTAATGGCGTGGGAGGTATCGATATTAAACATGGGATCGCCACCCTGGTAGCGGACAACGGAACCGGCAGGCCAAGCATTGGGCCCAATGTTCTGCAATGTCCATGTCTTGAAAAAGCGAACATTTGGAGCAAAGTGCGTGCCATCTGGAATGGTTTCACCCAGGAAACGGGTGTGAAGGCCATCGGGGTGCAGACCGGAAGTGACCGAATTTGGACCATCTCCAGAATGAGACAGAGACGAGGTAACAGATTCGTACTCTGAAGTCATCGACCCCTGCTGTTCGACTGGGGTTTCCTCCTCCTCGACAACCTCCTGCGTCTCGTAAGAGATTTCCTTCTCATTTTCATAGAATGCATCAAGTGCCATTGGAGGATGGACCTGTGTGGCAGCATTGGTGATGAAGGGAGCCGTAGTCTCGGTGGCAGTGGATCTGAAGGCAGGCTCAGGGGCATCCTTGTCACCCAGCCTCTCGAGTACGTGACCCTTCTCATCCTCTCCGTATGCAGAGACGGTGACGTGCTTGACTGGAGTCTTAAACTTTAACAAAGGATGGGTGCTGTTGTGAGTCCCGTTTGGATCGGCTTCACAGGTCTCACAGAAGTCGGTGTCATCACAGACAACACACTTGTAGCGAACGCCGGTGATGTACTGGACATTGAATTTCTCGTGGCAGAGACGGCCATCACAGTACACACCGGGGTGGACCACATGCTGTGAGGCCCGAGGGGGAAGAGGCAAGAACAATGGCACAAACCTGTGTCCTGGATGCGAGTACTTGACGTCACCGACACAGCTAGCGCAGACGTCCCAGTTGGGACAGTCAATGCACTTGTATCTCGCGTTGATGATTTGCTAGTAAAAAATGTGAGCAATAATGCACAATAGGGAGTGGGGGAAGGGGCGGGAATGACGTAATGGAGTATACGTACACAGTCACACATGTCACAGAGAGCTCTATGGATGACAGGCTCGCTTGGTCGGTAGTCGGCATCTCTGATAATCTCGGCCACCTCTGGCTCCTGTGATTTTGGTTGTGACTCAACTCCAGGCGTTGCTTCTGGTTCCAGCTTGGATCCCTCCTTGGGTTCCTCCTTAGGTTCCTCCTTCTCTTCCTCCTCCACTGGCTTGAAGAACTTTGGTCCAACAATCTCGGTAGTGCTAGACACGAGCTGTCCATCATTGAGAGATCGTTTGATGAGCCAGTGAGTACCGGCAGGACAGAGGTTTCCAGCATCAATACACTCCTGGCACAGGTCATAGTCACCACCCTCACAGACGGAGCAGTGATAGTGCTCGTTGGGGATGGAGGCCTTGCACAGGTTGCAGTCAATCATGATAGAGCAGCTGTATGTAGCCGTAGAGGTATTTGCAGGTAGGATTGGAGGAAGAGGATAAACAGATCTGCTGTCCAACATCCTGGTGGCCGAAGGAGATTCTGCAGGACGGTGTTCAAGGACCGTGTCAAGGTAGCTAGAGCGAGGGCTACTGACCTTTTCCGGCAGCGTCTGGTTGGGTTCGGGGAGATGTCCATTATCGATAGGGAACTCGAATCCAGATTGTGGCTGCTCAGACAACTCCTCAGGCTTGGTTTCTACCCCAGAATCGTTGATGATATTATCAGTAGTATCTGTTGGGTTCTCCTCTTCTGGTTCATCATGAGCATCAGTAAAGACACGCTCGACTTGGATACGGAGCTTCAGCTTGGCCTTTGCGGCTCTGTAAAGCTGTTTGTAACCAGCTGGTTGTTCACTGTCGAGTGTGAGAAACTCTCCAGCACTGTCGGAGTACCTTCGCATGATAATATCAGTATGAGAAGGGATGTTGAGAAACTGGCGGACCTAGACGGGGTGTTAGCTAGGTCGTTCAGGTAGGATAGTGATAGTGATAATAGTAGTGCTAGCCGGTATTGTTGGTGTTTGTAGAGGGATGACGATAACACGAGTAGCAGCGACATCGGGCAAGGATATACGAGTAAAAACCCAAGTCAAGCCGAAAAGTGGTACTCGTCACTATTTCGATGGAAGAGATGGATGAAGTAGGTGATTTCAAAGCCAGTCAAGAGTTATGCTAGTCGAAGGGCAGAGACAAGTTGTAAATGATCCAGTTGGGTGAAAAGTCGAGTTGGGTCAAGAAGTGATAGCCGTGATGCTGTATATATACTTGAAGCAGACGCCGAAGCGGAAGTCGATGGCGTGAGTGTTCCACGAAATGCCGAAGGTGCATAACCGGCTGACTAAACTTCCGTTTTGGGAGGTGGCGGTGAGCCAGCCCAGGCAGAAACGTTGACGACGACGACGACAGCGAGAAAGAGAAGGAGAGAGACAGAAAGCGAGAGAGAGGGAGGGAGAAAAGGAAGAAAAGGGATAGCAGTCTAGAAGAGAAGATCCTTATAACTCACTCTCAAGGGAAAAGTAGTGGCCCCCATGTCCCTCAAGGGCACTTTGAAGCGTCTGTTCTCTCCATCAAAGTGAGCCTTGACGGTTATGAGGGTGTCCGGCTTAACCGGTCCGCTGTGAGCTGGAGGCATGGCTGCTGCTGGGGGGGGGGAACGGTTTCGATAGCCACGAGGGTGTATTCGATGGGTGTTGTCGGCGACGGGCTGAACGATGCAGCCTAGAGCAGGCGTTGTCTGTTGCGTATGTCGATGCTAGAGTACAGCTGGTGATAGCAAATGTCGTGGTTTGGAGGCGAGACGTTGCAAGAAGAGAGTCGATAGCGTCACCACCGTTGAAGGAACAGGCAGCAACCACGGAACCGGCGGTGAGCCGGTGTAAGTATATAAAGGAACGCGAGGCCCTGCGTCGACGGCGGATAACCTTAAGTCGACGTCGACAGGGTGAATGTGATACTTGTGACTGCTGCTGGTGGTGATGATAGTGAGAGTGATGGGACTGGCGAGAGTGACGGGCACTGGAAGAGAAGAAGAGAAGAAGAGAAGAAGAGGAGGAGGAAGAAGCGAAGAAGGAAGAAGGCAGGTCGAGTTGCTTTTCTGGGGGTGAGGCTGCATGGCGGTGGATCCAGCCAATCAGAGGGCGCAGACGGCTGTCCTTACGTCATACGAGACCCTCATGCGAAGTTCTAGTCGCTGCCGCTAGCCAGAATTGCGGAGAAAGCAAAAGCAAGAAAGACTAACTGAAGGCGAGAGAGTTGACGTTTGACGGGATGACGGCAGCTTGCATCATGTCAGAGGAAGAGAAGACTGGCGGTGGGCTCGGGCGATGGCCATAAAGGCGTGTTTTACGGACATGTTTGGTAGCGGCGGCGGCGGCGGCGGTGGTGGCCGTACTATAAAAAAGGTTGCTGGTATTGTCCATACTTTGTAGAGCATGATAGAAGATTGTGACGACTAGCGTAGAGCAAGCAGTAGCGTTATGTAGACATACAGCCATAGATAGACTAATACAGTGCAAGAAGAGGTAAGAGTAAGGATACACGCTCAAAAGACGGCAGACAGACGACACGATACGGTGGATATCAGAAGAGGTGTGCAGAAGGAGATAAAAAGACCACCAGCCAGTGCCAGTAGCCGGTGTGAGTTAAATAAGGTATCGAGAAGACGCAAAGACGAGAACGAGACCAGAGCCATTATTCGCCTGCATGCTGAGCATTCCAAGAGAGAGATAGAGATAGAAAGAGAAAGAGAAAGAGAAAGAGAAAGAGAGAAAACGATAAAAAAAAAAAGATAAACCACGATGATGACTAATAAAGACAGACCGAGCCAAAAGAGGGAAAGAGCAAGCTAGAGAGAAAGGAAAGAACGCTAAGATGCAGGAGAAGGAAGGAGCAAAGGACAGAAAAAGATCTACGTCAGAGGAAAGAGAGCAAACAAGGCAAACAGGACAAACAAGGACGAACAGAGTAAACAATAACGCCATAAGCCAAGAGATAAAGAAGTATAAGACGAGAGAAAGAGAAGACGCATTCACTGGTAGTAGACGGGGCCGTTTTGGACGTGCGGAGGGTGAGGATAGTAGTACGTCGTTGCACCGGGGGGAGTCATCATGCCGCCCATGCCGAGGACGCCGCCGGCCGGTGGTACAGCGGCTGCAGTGGTGGTGCCCGAGCTGGAGCCCGGAGCAGAGACCTGAGAGGCATCGTAGTAGTACACCGTTCCGTTGGACTCGTGGGCTACGGTGCCAGGAGCAGCGCCGCCGGGAGTATAAGGGTACTCTGTTCCCGTGGCCGGAGGGACAGCAGCAGCAGCAGCAGCGTACTGGTTGTGGTGCGGGTGAGTGTGGTGGGGAGGATGTTGTTGTGGTTGATGCTGGTGATGGTGGTGGTAGGGCTGGCCGTAGTAAGCTGGCTGCTGTCCTGGTCCCGGTTGCTGGTACGTCACCGGCTGGAAGGGTGCGGCGTGGATGGCTCGTTCGGGAATCTGGGACAGAGGCGTCGCTGAGGTCGGCGGAGGATGGGACATGTGTCTCTGGTGCTGATACATCGGTATGGGCATGGGCATCGGGACAGCCATGGGGACGGCCATGGCCATTGGCATGTTCATCTCCGGTGTCGGCGCATAGCCGTTCATAGACATTGGCTGGGACGGCTGCTGAGGTACCTGGTGGTGGAATGGCTGCTGCTCCCCTGGCTGCTGCTGTTGTTGCTGCTGTTGCTGTTGCTGCTGACTAAACTGATAAGCAGCGGCCGATGCAGCGGGAGACTCGATATCCGCCACCGAGACTGTCTTCTGCGGACGGGGCTGGTGCATTGGAATGGCCGGGTGCGGCCGGTTCTCCCGGTATGTCGGGTTCTGCGGTGCAAAGTACGGACCCGCGGTCGAAGGAGGCACAGATGTCGGCGGCTGCTGCTGCTGCTGCTGCTGCTGTTGCTGTTGCTGCTGCAATTGTGCCGCCTGCTGAACCGGCGTGACCTGGGGAGGAAGGCGGACTACTGGCCTCGAGTCTGGTGGAACAACAGGGCGGGCCATGGCCATGGTCGATCCCAGCGGCGGAGTGGCGCCATTGACGCTCATATCCCGCCCCATTGACGAGCGGCGAGACATGCTCACGCTCAGGCTGACGCTGGGAGTATGAGTTGGTGCATGGCTGTAGGCACTGCCGGAGTAAACACTGGCCCGTCGGCTAGAGTAAAATCCGCCGCCGCCACTTCCTCCGCCCCGACCTCGGCCGCGGTACGAAGCTTGTTGGTTGGGCCGGAGAGCCCGGGGGATAAAGATAAATGACCGTTCCGTCGAAGGGAAGATGTAGCGAGGAGCCTGGCCGGGGAGGAAAATGCGGACGGGCTTGTCACGACGCAGCGGAGGGCGGTGCTGCGGGAGGCGGGTATGCTGTCTTTTGGGGACGGCGGAGAAGGGTATCGGGGCTTCCATGCCCGGAAGAAAGACGATAACGGGGACATTGCCGATGAGTACAGTGGTAGAGAATGATCGGTTTTGTGGAGAGGTGCGAGGAGCCGTAGGTACAGGTTTAGGCTGGTAGCTGGTATTGGCATTATTGTTGTTGTTGGTTGTAGTAGTGCTGCCGGCAGTGGTAGTAGTAGCGGTGGTGGCAGCTGTGGTACTCTGAGACGGTCGACTCGGCTGATTGATAGTATCATGTAGATCATGACGCCAGGGAGCATGTGTAATGTCTGGCTGGGGTTTCCTACAGGTTTGCCAGTCAGTACGTCATCATCAAATGCAAAACAAAAATACAAAAGTACAAAACTCACCGTGAAACGTTGCTGTCGACGATAAGGCCGTGAGGCTTGCTCTTTATCTGCTTGGGCCGTCCGCTGCCATTCCCGCTGCCAGACCGGTTGTCGTGGAGGAAGAAACCACCTCGCGTAGGCACAAACGAAGGGTCGTTCCTCTTCTGGAAGTACTCGTCATGCTCTCTTCGTTTCCTCTCGGTCAAGGGCTCCCTCTGACCCCCACTGCTGGGCCGAGAAGCAGTAGTCGTAGCAGCCGTCTCCTCCTCCTCATCGTCAAATGTCATTAGATCCCCAAGCTGCTGCACCGGCTCCGGTGCCGTCTCTGTGCTTCCGTTCGCCATGTTATCTGACTCCGAAGTCCGCGCATTGAACAAGCTGTTCCTTTCGCCACCTTCACCATCACCACTGCCTTCTGCTCTCCTTCCTCCTCCTGTTCCACCACCACCTTGCCCTCGAGGTGTCCCTGTCGAGGTCGAGGACGACTTCTTGGATCTGAGAGGCAGCCGTCCACCGTCTAGAAGAGACCTCTCACCGCCCTCTGTCTCCGTGATCTCGCTGCATCCGTCGTCCTCGTCGTGGGACTGGGAGCTGACCGAGCCTTCGCTGAGCGAGTCGTCATCCACTGTACCTGGGAACCCGTCTTCCTCGCCCTCGTCATCGACCGTCCTTCGGCTCGCACCGATCCTGCGGCGATGGTGTGGTGCCATCTATACACTAGAGAGTCAGTCTCTGCCGTAAAACACACTGCTGCACCGAGTGGTGATGGTAAGAAGAAGTAAAAAAGGTAAAAAGGCCGCAAAGTAAAGAAGAAAAAGCAGGTGGTGGTCAAGACAGGCAGCAGAGTAGCACAGGCATCAACCAGGTACATATATGCCAGCTGCAGGGCCGAGCTCCCAGTCACTGCCCATTATTAACTGCACCTTGTTGTCTTTTGGTGACTCGACTGTCTGCCTGTCTGCCTGTCTCTCGGTCTTTGGGCTTGCTGGCATCACTCTGGGCCTATCCCCGGCGGGGCGAACCAGATGGCGAAAAATAAAAAATAAAAAAAAAATAGTTAACCACCCCCGGGCAAACAACTCAAGACAACATGAATACAGGGCCGGGGCGAACGGGGAGCAGACGTACCTGAGTCAATCTGATCGCTCGTATGCGGCAGAAGCGTGGAACACAGCAGGCAGCGAGTGTCTGCAGTCCAGCATCGGGATGGATTTCCAGCAGAATGTTCGACGGGAGGACGAGAAGCGGTGGACTATTTTTTTCCCGTGCCCGTTGGTTGACTAGAGGGGACTAGACAAGCTAGGGACGTTGGAGTTGAGACTAGCAGGGATCCTCCTGCAGGCGAGCCATGCAGAGCCACCGCAGCGAAGCAAAGAAGGCAAGAGAAAGTCGAAGATGGCGTTGACGTTGAGCTGACGTCGAGATGAGTTGAGGTTGAGGTTGAGGTTGAAGTTGAAGTTGAAGTTGAAGTTGAAGAAGATGAAATCGGCGAGAGCTGAGTGTTATTCTGCTTAGTCAGCTGGATAGACGTCGAGGCATCAAGATAGGACTTTGATGATGATGGTGATGATGATGAAGACGATGATAGAGAGCTGACAGTGTATACCCTGATACTGAGATAGCCAGAAGATAGCGAGGATGGCCTCTATAACCATAGACAGACGAGGAGACAGCAGGCAGTCCTCTGCCTACTCTCTGTACTTCCACTTCTGCTTCTACTTCTGCTGCTTCGCCTGACTTCGCTCTTGCTGCTGGCTTCTCGCTGGCTTCTTCACTCCAGCTGGACTTTCTCTCTTCTCTTCACTGTTTATTTGTTTACAATCATAACATCTACATCTACCATCACCATCACTCGGCGGACAAAGCAACTAACTAGTTATTTTAACCATCCTCATGTCGTTTCCTTGGCCTTGACAACCTCAGAAGAACTCTGGGACGTATCCTGGGCTTCCTTGCTCAGGACAAAGGATCAGAGTCAGTACTCCGTCTTGCTCTTCCTCTACCAATGACCTGCGTCTAACGCTGTCTACAGGTCCATTGGAGGTTCCAGCCGGATCTTGAGAGGAGACCCTGCGTACGCACGGCTGACTGCTTAATCTTTTCTCTACTACTACAAACCTGCTACTACCACCATAATAAAGCAGTTTCTTCATAGCATTGAAACCGAATGAATATTACAGGAGAAATGGAAGATGTAAGTGAATGTGATGCTTTATGTATTAATACTTGCTAAGCTAGGCTATAGGAGGAAGAAAAGACACAACATTAAAAGCAAGCTCAAGGATATTCGAACAGATAATCCAACTCTTCGAAGAGAATACCCAAACTAAAAGGGTATAATCCGGTTAAGGTATTAGCTACTTTACGAGTAAAAGCCAACCTTGGAATTGGAAACTTGCTGATTAAAACGGCATAAAAGTTGCTGTAAACTGTCTGACTTAGTTGCTTGCATTGAAAAGAAGATATACCGGTCAACTGGATAGCAGCAACAGCGCCATCAACATGGCTTGCTGCAAACGAATAACAGCAGAAGTACCAATAGCAGCAGCAGCGATAGCAACATGGCTTGCTGTAAACAAACGACAACAGAATCAGCAGCAGCATGGATAGCAGCATGACTGGGCGTTTACTGGCTGATGGGACTTTGAGGGTCTTTGAGGGAATTTGTACACATATATATGCACCTGCGGGACCTCGCAGGCGGTCTGGTCTAACCGGTCTCTCCCGGGTTACTTGCAGGGTACATACCACGCATGTATGCATGTTCCCATGGCCGTTTGCCTTGGGCGTTTGAGAAACCTAAGTGAATCATGCATGTACCTAGTTGGTCCAGTGAGACAGTTGAATCCCAGTCACTGCGGTGTCCCTTCACTCAAGGCCTCCCAAGTCTATATATTCTCCCTCCTCCTCTTCTCTTCCCTCTTCATCTTCATCTTCTTTTCTATCTTCCTTTCTATATCCCTGCCATAACTATGCCTCTGGCTCATATTACCTAGAGCCAAGACTACCCCATATACACCCCTCTGATAGCGGAGATATGTCCATTCTCCCGGTACAAAGGGGATGGACGACTGGCGGGTAAGTTGAATAACTCACAGAAAGGACACCATCCAGCAGCCATGCAACTAACAATACTGAGATTAATGTTAGATGCGCATTATGCCAACCGAGAAACAGATGTGTCATCACTAAATCGCTGAAACCAGTACTACGCTATAAGCAGTTTCGAGTCTTATTTTCTAGATATATTAATACTAAGTATAGAGCCGAGGTCTTTAACTGAACCGCTCACGCCACTGAAAACCGAATCGAAGCGAATCCATACATCAAATGCTGGAGACCCCGGGTCACACGGCGATTTAGTGAGGCATTTCATACAGGAGGAGTCCATCTCTGACCACTTCCGTGCTTGAGGAAAGGGAGAGCTTGACTCGTCTCCGCCACACGTTGATATACCCAAGTAACCTCATCGAAAGCGTGAAGATTCACCGGGTGCTGACGGGATGACAATGGGAATATAGTCAAACTTGAAGACCCAACGTACGGCCTGGTTGAACACTCCGACAAAAGGCAGAAATGATAACTATACTGGCCGGTATCATCTTTTACAGAGAGGGTCTCAGCAAAGGGGAACGAATATTTTGCGGAGGAGAGAGAACAATGAATAGTAGCCGAGGTGGCTTACGACATGGGATTAGGCAACAAAATGGTACCTCTATGTATTATCAACTGTTGTCTGCCAATGGCTGCACTTGGGGTGGTGGCCACTTACACTATTGATCAATCGACGGCACTTTTCGCTAACTGCCATTGAATAGAGCTCCCTGCTCCTTCAGGAATCACCAGGATAGGGATGGACTAGAGTACCGGACGTCAGACAGGCTACGAGTGTTAAACATCTTCCCACACAACAACCCAATCTCGCCTTGTCTACAGTGCACCTTAGCCCTGGCAGAAATAAAGAATAGGAGTGTCTGCAGGCTTGTGCAATTGCATCCGGTCTGGGAACCCTATGCTTGGGATCTTGTAAGTTTCTCCCTTTCCTCCCAGTTTCGCTGCGTTGACTAAACATTTCGAGATAGGGCAAATAATTAGGTCAACTCAAGAAGTATTGCTTGCTAATTGATGTGCATCTCATGCACCTTGACCTATGGACTGTAAGTCACAGCTCATTGCAAAGCCCACGCCTATCTATATATGCCTTTACCTGACAAGCCTGCAGGTGCTTCTAAGATTGCTACATTCAATCATCCCACTGTACGATGCATTTGGCCAGAACTGCTCTATGGTCTAAGGTGTCTACAGACGCAACCCTATAGCAGCAGGCCCCAGCAGCAGTCTCTCAGCAGACCCTGCAGGCTGAGCTCATGGAGAAACCCACCAGGGTTAAGCCAAAGGAACCTGACGTCTACGATGGACCAACGGATATTCGCTTCTGGCTGATGGATATAGACGATCAATTACGCGAGCGCCTGATCTCCGGAGCCTTGTCCCAAGTCACATACGCTATAAGCTACCTCTCCTATGTTGATATAGAGAGTCCAACGCCTGCAGCTCAAGAAATACCATCATATCAAACCCCATAATCAGAAAGCGAGACAATACCAGTCCTGCTAAAGCCTTGTTGGTCAGGTTCTTGTCAAGACCAAAAAGCTGGGCTTGTATACCATGATTACCCATGGGACTGAGAGGATAGTTCAAACACACGATACTGTTAGGTCTGTCAGAGCGTCCTGAAGAAAACACGAGTGCCTATCCTTTCATCACGTAGTGCTGCCTGCGAATGAAGTCCCGCCCCGAACTATACCGCCGATACTATGTTAATGCCTTAGAGGGATGTCTTATTTTCTTTCATATCCAAATGGGACGTCTTCAATTAAAAGTCCCAGCATTCATGTATGAGGCGCTGGGCTGTTTGTTCCCAGGATGGGATTCTTATTCAGTGGGACTGACTGCTCCATACATCAAGTCTCCACGATTCGGGCCCCTACCCTGAAGAGAATAAGGCTTGTGAGGGAACCAAAACAACGCAATACTACCTCAGCAATTTTCCATTCATCATTGGGCCCGATGATGGTCCTCAGCTTTGGGCTTAGTCCAATCCTCGTGTTTAAAGACACCACCTCGGCATATATACCCCGTATTTTACTAGCCATGCGGTGGACGAACAGGAGTCAGCTATTGCTTTGAAAGTGGACGCTTACAAGATTCCGCAAAGAAGGGAGCCCAGAATGGTCTCTGTGAGAGAGCAGGGAGCCCAGAAGCTATCCTTCATACTATGGTATCACATGGCGAACCTGGCACCAAACGCAATAAACCTCCGATGCAAAAGTCTATGCTGCCAATTAAAGCGCAGTCAAATATAAATAACCACTCTCACTGCTTCCAATTTGCTGGCTAGCCTCTTTGGCTCAGCAGTTTGATAACTTTTTTCCAATCCGAACCACAATAATGAGAAAGCACAGGACGAAGATATCGAGAAAGGCTCTGGCTCTGCCGGCCGTCTAGTTCGAGGCGACATCACAGATCTTACTATCCTCAAACGCCCTGCGAGAGTGACTTCCCGCGAACACCCTTCTAAGTACGCTGCCGGACCATTCAAAAAGCTGTGTTATCCGCTAAGAAAACACTTACTCTAAGTCACCTGAAAGGATACATACTTGCACGGGACTGTCCAGTGGCATCCACGAAGCCAGAGAAAAAGTCTAGCAAGGACAAGAAAGTTGCTGATCCTGTTAGAGGAGTGAGTCCGAAAGTCACTTCTAAATATAAGTGTTCATGCTGGGTTAACCTCTAGACAGGTGAAGACAGGCAGAAGTGCCGAGAAAAAGAACACCAAAGACAAACCGCTGGGCCAAAAAGGGAAGACCCCCTAATCTGCCACAGAAAGAGTCGTTATATCATCGATATACATGAAAGGTCGATTCTCAGCTGCATTCCACCGGATTGTAGTTGACGAAGGCCATAGCAGGAGACACCCGGATCGAACACTGCATAGACGTCGTTCTGAGACCAGGCCATGCATGGGAATTTATCTCGTACTCTTATTACACCAAATAGTCACGCCAAACCGGGGGCTCGACAGCCTTCAGGCATATCGATATTAACACCTGGGAATACCTTCTTCTGCACTGCTTCGACAGCAAGTCAAAAGTCACTCCGGAGCTTCAAGCCAGAAATGGTCATCGTTGAAGAAGCATTTCGGTTGACAGAATCGAAGTGCTTAAATGGCATAAGCAAATAATATGCGTCGTTGAGAACGGTCATTCCCAGCGAGGATGTTTGCCAGCTCCCTTCTATAATCCCACAAGCCACGCCCGAGCCTACTACGCCTAAGGTAGGAACTCACCATACAGCTGAGTTTAGCTGGTTAACAGACTCATCTCATTATAAATTACAGCTTATCATTTGTTCTTTCTTGTTTTAATGGAATTGGACATGATATCAAGTCCAAGGATTTAGCTGTAGATGACACAATTGCTAAGAAGAAAGGCCAGGAGGGCAGAGAAACACTGGGGAAAGAAGCAAGTAAGTATATCTGTTAAGGGAGAGCCACATCTATTCAGGCTAACGCTGTTTTAAGCCAAGCATCAGGTGGAAAAACACCTGCTCCTACATTGGTAGCATGTCGTCTTTTGGTTTCAATCAAAGACCCTCAATGGCGTCATTTGGTATTGATCCAAGATCCTCCGGAACCACGCAAATTTTTCGAGTCTCCCTATTCAAGAGCACCCCGGGTTCAATTAAACAGTCAACTTGTGGACTCGGAAAGATCATTCAAGCCCGAGGCTTGATCTATATCGCCGCAACTCGAAGAACCAGCAATTTCCTTCCCACGATCGTCGTCGCCCAAAGCTCGTGTCTAGACGTTTGGACATGAGAGGTTAAACGTTTTTTTCAGGGCATGCTAACCTTTCATATATATCATGGATCTGAAACCCGAAGCACTACCGATACGTTCAAGAAAATGTGTACAGTAGACGATTTATCCTCTATCCTGGCTAAACACCCACCATCAGATCCCTCGTCGTCATATGTCGTGGTTCTCACGACCTATCAGACCTTTTATCACCGGTTCACGATCGGGGAGAAGGAGACGACCGAGGGACGCGAGAAGAAGTGGACAGGCGCAAGCAGTAGAAATGATAAGGGGTTAGCAGTGAAAAGTTGGACCTCTTTCGTGACCTTTCGGGTAGAGAGAAGACTTGTGCCAGCTGAAAGGTAGACCAGGCCTGGGGCCTGAATTGTCTTTCCGAGTCCACAAGAGTCGTTGAGGATCTTCCACCAAAACAATGGTCAACATTTAAAAAGTAACGGGAATTGATATCGTTGACTGATAATGCATCTATGTATTCTAGTACTCAATCAATCGAATGTCACCTTGGTTCCCTTTGCTTCTACTATAGCTCCGGACAGTTTCTGTACAGTTTCCGTAGAGTACTGGCCGTAGGACTTGATAGGCTTTTTGCTCTTCTGCTTGAGATTGACATTTCCCTGCGTAGCCTCACTCGCAGGCTTCTTATTAGAGCCAGCCTCTTCTTTCGTCTCTGTCTTCTCCTTGCCAAACCGCTTCTTGTACCGTGTCGTTGAGTCCTCTGCAAACTCCATGCGTAAGTTACGGCCCTGAAGCCGGTTCACCCATACTTTCTTCATACGCCGCTTCTTGGGCTTCTTCGTACCCGCGCCGTTTGCTCCTTCAGCTCCATCTTCGTCATCTTCCTCCTCTTCCTCTATTTCATCGTCTGGATCAGGTATTTTGACAAACCCGCGTACAGCAGCTTGGCTGGACTGGGTAGACTCGAATTCCACCCACGCATAGCCCTTGCATTTCCCGGAGTCTTCAAAAGTGGCGACATGTATGTTCGATATGCTTCCACAGGGGCTGAAGTGTTCTTCTAGGTGTTCCTTGGTGGTGTCAAAGGACAGGTTGCCCACAAATATCTTGGTTGACGGTGGATTTCCTCCCGCTGTCTTCAAGTCGTCTCCGTTAGCTTCCTTTACCACCCTGCCGTCGAAGTTGGTAGCATCCTTGATCAACACCCTTCGGCCGCCAACGAGCTCTTCACTCAATTGTATGGCTCGCCCGACAATCTCCTGGCTCGTGAAGTCGACGTATGCGAACCCCTTGTTCTGCTTGACGCCCTTCCGCTTCATCCCGCTGTCCGGTATATGTACACGAGTGATCTGGCTATCGAGAATCCCGCTCTTGCTCGTCAGAAACGTCCGCAGCATCTCCCTTGTGGCCGTGAAGGGCAGGTTTCCAATCCACACTCCGAATCCTGTCCTCTGCTTCTTGTTCCCGTCATTCGTCTCTGGTTTCTTCGTCTCGTTGCCCTTTTCCGTGCCTTCACTGACTGCTGATACTGTCGCTTCACTTGAGCTCGACTTCAGCTTCGCCTTCTTTTCCTTCCGCAGGGCTTTCTTCGATGCTGGCTCTGGTGCGTTCAGGTCGATCTCGAGCGGTGGCTCGTCAGGTACATGCTTGCGCTTCCGCGACGGCCGTGGAGACGGTGTCCGCGAACTGGAGCTGCTGTCCGACATGTCTCTCTCAATGGGTATCTCTTCTCTTCTATATCTCTATTCAATGGCAGAGAAACAGGTTGAAACCGGTGCTGTCGAAGCTGTCAAATCGAACTAACAGAAGATAAAAAAAAAAAAGTCCAAAAAATCTGGAGATGCAAAAGAAACAAAAAGCTTGTGCGGGAAGCTTGGCGGGCGAGAGGAAGAAATCTCGACGACGCGAAAAACCAGGAAGAAAAAGACCGAGAAGACCAAACGTCGCAGAAGAAGAACGACGACGACGGGAAGACTTGCTGCTGCTGCTGAAGACGACCTTGCGACGAGTTGATAAGCATGTCGAACGATACAGAGTCCCTCGACATGGCCGAGACGCAGAGCATGCCCGACGCGGAGCCTCTTGCTGCTGCTGCTGCTGCTGCTCCGGCGTCGCCAGCCGTCACTCGGTCCTTCAAGTCCTTCAAGTAAGGCTGCTCTTGGTTGAGAAAAAGAATGGACAATGTGATACTGACTGTTGACTCTTCCAGGCGCAAGTACGGGAAGCAGAAGATCAAGTTCGAGGCCGTGATGAAGGACAGCACGGCGCTCGCCCGTGAGGAGATGCGGATTCACGACCTCTCGAAGCGTCTGAGAGAGCAGAATGAGTGCGTCGACATCCCATTATTTTCTCGATATTTGACTGCTTTGATGCTAACTGTTGATAGCCAACTGCTGGAACTGCTCCTCGAACTCAACAATACCGTGCACATCCCCCGATCTCTCCGGTACGATCTCACCAAGGAAGAGGACTCCCAGCTACACATGGCCATGTCCGACCAGCCAGACTCCATTCCCATCGTCGAGTGCGATGCCCAGACAGCCCGCGCAAAGCTCAACGAGGCCAAACAAAAGCTTCTGGCCGGTGAGATGACCGCAGACGAGTGCAAGGAGCTCGAGCTGTCCATGCTGAAAAGCAACACCTTTGCGCCAACCACGAGCATCACTTCACTACTAAAGAATGTACCACATACCACCCCGTCCTCCGATGATGTTGCTCAGGACAACGATCTCGAGGCTTCTCTCAGTTTCATCCATCCCGAGGACGACGTGGACTATCTTATCCCAAGCGAACCTCGACGCATAGACCTTACGAATGCCCGCTCAACCAGCAAGCATCTCCCCGTAGCAGACAGGGAGAAAGCACTGCTCATCCGCAACCCGTCGTCGGTCTACAACTGGCTACGCAAGAATAAGCCCCAGGTCTTCGCTCATGACCCTGAAGCACCCCCGGCCGGCAGCAGCTCTGCCAATGCAGCCGGCGGTGGCTCTGCTCAGTCTGAGAAGCCCGCTGCAGCATCACGACCGAGCTCTACTCGCTCCAAACGGGCTTCGGCGCAGGCACACAAGGAGGAAGAGGTATACGATGAAGACGGCGTGTTGGTTGACGTCGTCGAGCCCGCTGCCAACGCCGGGAGCGGAGGCAGCAGGGGCAAGAGGAAGCGAGAGGAGGACGGCGTGTATCATCCCAAGGGCGGGAACCGAGGGAGGAAAAAGAGAGACGATAAACGGGCCAAAAGGCCGTCGACGGCGTCCACTGCGGCCGCATCATAGCATGTCTAACTACCATCACTTTATATGGCCACGAAGATATTTCATTTGTTTGTATTACTACTGGTACCTACTACTAATCATCTACTGCACTTGATGGGCATCCGTCCTTGTGTCATTATCATCGTTAGGGAGTCCTTATCCATAGCAATGCCATGAATATCTGCATCATTTACCTCCACAGAACTACCATTATCAGCATAAGTCCAATTCATCATCTCGACTCCATATTCATCAATTATGAGGAGTAAATCGTCGTATTCCCCTGAGTTGCTCGTGTTGTTTCAACCCGACTCAGCCACGCCGATCTCCCCTTTAGGCAAATCTGCGTATCTTCGGCTCTTCGTTTCTTCTTCTCGAGCCTCAACCTTTCTACAAACTGACCAGTCAACGAGACTCTGGAACTTGGAGAGACCTGACTTGATCCATTCCATGCTCGATGGCGCAGAGAATAGCCTCTCGTGAACGATGAACTGCTTAACTGGGAGATTCGCCGTGTTCAGCGTCGTGTATATACTATGGCGAATAGTATATATATGTCTACTCCTTCCCTCCCGTCTATCCCTCTATGGACAGGACATCAATTCATCTATCAATCTCTTGCATTTTACAAGTTAATCCTTATAATACTCTAATCAATCATGAAAATCCCCAGCCAGCAAGTCCTGCTTGCTATCCCACTGCTTGCATCGCCAGCTCAAAGCTACCCCGGAAAACACCCCAGATGCTCTGCCGGAGACGCATGCTGGCCTAAGGAGCATGTCTGGCAGGCCTTCAATTCAACCATCTCGGGCCGTCTGATACGCACGTTCCCGGCAGCCGCCGTTTGCCATACCGCCCAGTATGATGCCGCTGCTTGTTCTGTGGCAAAGGAGCACTGGACAGATAGCTTCTGGCGGACAAACCAGACGGGTGCATACTCTGCTATCCTATGGGAGCTCGGTGAAAAGGGACAGTGTTTCGTTAACACGACCAAGGAGGATAGGTGTGATCAGGGCATTGTGCCGTATTACTCTGTCTCGGCCAGCGGCGTAAAGGATATTGAGAAGGCAGTCAAGTTTGCGGATAAGCATGATCTTTACCTTGTTGTGAAGAATACTGGTCATGACCAGTGAGTTTTCCCTATCATTATTAAATTCCTAGTAGCTAACAGTTTGTTACAAAGCCTTGGTCGGTCAAGTGGCAGCGGTGCATTTTCCATCTGGACTCACAACCTCAAGGGCAAGGAGTGGCATAAGTCGTTCAAGCCAAAGGGTGCTCCATTCAATGTCAGCGGCATTCCGGCTGTTACACTTCAGGCTGGAGAGCAGTTACTTGGTATGTCTCATTAGTCTGCTTTTCTTCTGGCATTGCTAATATGTAGTAACAGATGTCTACAAAGCGGCGGCAGCTGAAGGGGTTACGTTCGCTGGTGGTTCTGCACAGACTGTTGGAGCTGCTGGTGGCTTCATGACCGGTGGAGGAGTCAGTCCCTTTTCTCATTTCTATGGACTTGCTGTCGATAGTAAGTGCGTCCATCATCAATGTTGAAATATTCAGTTAGCTAACCAAGAATCTAGATGTACTCGAGGTCAATCTTGTTACTGCCCAGGGTAAGGCAAAGACTATCAACCAGTACACTGACCCCGACTATTTCTTTGCCCTCCGTGGTGGAGGCGGCAGTGCTTGGGGTGTAAGTTCTCTTTCCCCTAGAATTTATACTGTACAGTAACCCTAACTTCTCCTAGGTGATTACCTCTGTGACGTACAAGACACACCCAAAGCCAACTCACATCAGAGTTGGAATTGCCCAGCTCAATGTCACTACCGAAGATGCCCGCCGGGTAGTCATCGAAAAGACCCTCCAGGCTCTCCCCGACATCACTGAAGCCGGATGGGTAGGATATGGCCTTTATGCCACCGAGAAGACTAACCCAACAGCCTTCCAAGTCATCTTCCTTCAGCCCAATGCAACCATGGAAAACTTCAACAAGACTTTTGAGCCCATGAACAAGATTGCAACCTTACCCGGTGTCACAGGCGGGGCTGTATCCTATGTGTTCCCGGATTTCCTGGAATACTCCAAGAATTTCCTTCGCGATCCCAACATTGCTACCAACGTCATTGATGCTTCGAGGTTGGTAAGCCGTCAAGTTCTCACGGAACGTGCTAGTGACCTTGTCGATCTCATGTTTGAATTTCCTACCACCGGTCCTGGGTTTAACTCAAGTAAGTTTTTATCCACTGCCAGAGGAAAAGTTTGAACACTAACATGTCCTGGATGTAGTTGTCAAAGTGAACTCCGATGAGCGAGATAACACCTCTGTTCACTCTTCGTTCAAAGACAGCCGAGCGCTTATCAGCTATAGTGTTGACTGGGCGGATAACGCTTCTGAACAGGAAAAGAAGGCAGCCAAGAAGACCTCCGCCGAAGTCTCTAAGAGGCTAGCTGAAATTGTTGGAAAGGAGACTGGAACCTACCTCAACGAGGCAAGCCCGTATGTCACATCTCCCCTTTCAACGATGTCCCAAGCTTAGTTATACATACTGACCGCATTATAGATATGAGCCTGACTGGCAAAACGCCTTCTGGGGAAATAAATACGCCCGCCTTCTCTCTATAAAACGGCGAATCGACCCAAAGAACCTCTTTGTATGCAATCGTTGTGTGGGAACGGACATTATCTTGGAGCCTTGAACTTTCCTTACTCTGAGATTGAACCAGTATAATTACTTGTTTGTATATAGAAACACGCTTCATTTCATCAGCATTAGTTCTATACATAATACTATTCAGCCTGCCCCGATGTATCTCTAAACCACTGAGCCGTAACTCAACCCCAGAAGAGACAACTAGTTAGCCAAATACTTCCAGACATTAGTTACGTCATATCCGCGCATAGCTCAAAAGAATTGCGATCCTGAGCCGCGAAGGATGAGATGTGCGGGGTTATAAACCCTGGCCAGTACGGAGTAGGTTCTCTGGATTTCAATCCTCTCTGCAAACTTATAACTTCCGGGGAACTTCGAATACTTTGATAACCGGGCTTCATAACGGCAAAAAAAGTGCACGACCGGCGAATTATGGCATCCCCCAATCCAAAGACCACGGGCTCATGTCTCTGCGGCAAAGTACGCTATGAGCTCGAAGGACTTCCGACAAACTCTGTTTTATGTTTCTGTGACAACTGCAGAAAAGCAACGGGCTCTGTCTGCATGGCAAATAGCTGGTATAAAAAGGAGGTAATAGCACATCTAAACTCCTAAATGCCTTTTGCCAAATGTGCAAGTTGGCTATTGCCTCTCTCTAGCTATAATACCATCGAAACTAGTTATATTAACTAACATACACAGGCACTAAATATTACTCAAGGCAAAGACAATCTTGCGACGTACTCCGACAATGCGACGGATTCTGGAGTCACTATCGAGCGCTCGTTCTGCACAACATGCGGTTCATCAGTCGTTAGTGAGAACAAGGGCAAGCTTCCTGGTGTGGTGATTGTGTCGTGCGGTACTATAGACTTCGCGGAGGGAGAGAGTTGGGGCCCACCAACCATGGAGTATTTCTGTAAAAGAAAGGCAGCATGGCTAACCACATCCGAGGGCTCCGAGAAGTTCTGGGGGCTGACATAGAGAGGGATTTGACTCTGGGTTGCTTGTATTTTCCATCAACTATGAGAGGTTCAATTGTACACATTTCTCCCCACTATGACTACATGCGGCTCAACTTAGCTCTTGCGGGCTCGAGCGGTTCGGGAGCTTATTTTAAGTCGTGAAGTCAAAGTTGTCGAACCTCACGAAAACAACGATAACACAAAGGAGCAGAAAAACCTATGATATCAAAGTACTGTGAAGCTAAGTTTAAGAAATGGTCGGTACTTGACTAACCATAGATGTGGCCTTTGCTTATGCGGTACAGATTGCGAAGCCAATGCCGCGATTCTGCTGCGGTAATATCAATTTTTTGGGTCGTGTGAGCTTTGTCTCTGGCAGATGGCACCTTGCCGCACCAGTGGCAACTGCGGCAATCGGGGTTCCACTCCGGCTACAGCTATGGGGGGAATAGCCATCCTAGGATATCCGTTGACTAGGCAGTTGAATTCTGATCTTCTAGGCTGGTGGAACCGGAACTGTGCAGCAGTGATTCCAAGGCCCTGAGAACGCTAACTAGCTTCTAGTTTATTTGATAGTTCCCTGATCTCTCTCCACTTGCTGCAGGTACTAAAATGCAAAGAATCAGAAGATACATCCAGAAACGAACTAACTCTTTGTCTACTGACTAGCGGTGAGAAGTGACGTGTCCTCTTTGCGCCTGCATGAAGATATAAAGATGATAAGAGGTAGGTAGGTATCTTTTTACTTCCTTTAACTCTGTGGGGGCATTAAAGCGGTCCCAATCCTTTCCGTCGAACCTCTAAAGCGGCAATGACAACAGCAAACATCCCAAAGAGCTTTCAACTTTATCTCAACATTATTAGATGCATCTATCCTCTGCCTGAGCCTGCAAACGCCTCTATATATGCACTTAACCTATGCATACTTCTCTGTTTGCCTTTTAAGATGGCTTCAAACTTGCATATTCTTTGGGAGTTTGGGAAAATAAGGGATAGACCCAGAAAGGAGGCCTCTGTCTCATGCCATTAGGTGCTACAGAATGTCATAACTTTTCCATATCTCCAGAGATATAAACGGCCTGCTATACCCATGAGGTTCATAATATCTTCCATACTGCTTCTTACACCTTGTTGGCGATACTACTTATTTTATGGAATTTCTTCTGCCAAGTATCCTTCCGAAGTTCCAAGAGTAAGAATGGAAACTCCGAGTGTCCCCGTAAGTTTATCAAGTCATTGCCTGTTGACAATAGTTTTTACTAACGAGCTGGATAGAGAAAAGAAGAGACAGAGATTGACTCTATGTTAGCTACTGGTGGCACGGCACCTTCGATGGAAGCTATCATGGCAACCGAGTCCCTGGCTGGACTTCAAAGCATCGAACAACGCGATTTGATGAATCTGGTTGACCGTCTTCGCCGTGCAGGGTTAAGCTCGGTTCTGCAGCTGCCACAGATAGTTGTCTGTGGTGATCAATCTTCTGGCAAAAGCTCCGTTCTTGAAGCTATCACGGAGATTCCCTTTCCCCGGAAAGAGAACCTCTGTACCCGCTTTGCAACTGAGATTATTATGAGACGTGACGTGGAGTCCGCAATCCATTGCAAAATAAACCCGGATACGGGGCGCACTGAGGAAGAAAAGCTCGAACTTCGCAAATTTTCGAAGTCTATCCATGATTTTACAGAACTTCCTTCTATCATCGACGACGCTACCAATGCTATGGGTTTGAGTGATGGAATAGCATTTTCAAGGGATGTGCTCAGCGTTGAGATTTGTGGACCTGATTTACCGCAATTGTGAGTTTTATTAACCGATTACTCATGACATATAACTGGTTACGTGTTTGCTTACTCTTCGGTTAGGACCTTAGTTGATCTGCCCGGTCTTATTCATTCGGCCAACAAGTCGCAATCAGACGAAGATGTAGAGCTTATCAAGTCTCTAGTTGAGAGCTATATCTCACAAAAACGAACCATCATCCTTGCTGTAATCTCAGCAAAGAACGATTATGCCAACCAAGTCATTCTTAAGAATTGTCGTTTATTTGACCCGAATGGCGCGCGAACCCTTGGTGTGGTAACGAAACCGGACTTTTTACGGCCAGGGTCAGAAAATGAGAAATCATGGCTTGACTTAGTGAGCAACAGAGATATTTACTTCGAACTAGGATGGCACTTGTTGAAGAATCGCAGCGATGACGAACACCAATTGTCTTTTGCTGAGCGCAATAGTAGAGAGTGTGTATTCTTCAACAGTGGGCATTACAATGAACTCCCACATAGTATCAAAGGGATTGATTCTCTTCGTCAACGATTGAGTGATCTTTTGTTTAACCATCTAAAAAGGGAGCTGCCAATTCTGAAAGAAGAACTTGACAAAATGGCAACCAGCGTTCACATCGAACTTGAACGCCTTGGAAGGAGCCGTGCTACGATAGCCGATCAACGGGCATACCTGGCGGACTTTTTTGGATCTGCTAATGACTTGGTTACGATGGGAATAAATGGGAATTATGAAGGGAGATTCTTTGGTGCGGTCAATGTCATGAAAAATATTGACGCAAAAGAAAATTCTTCTCGCCTCAGAGCTGTTGTCCAATACCTGAACTCTCAGTTTGCAAACACCATGAACCAGAAGGGACATAAGTATTATGTTCGCGACTGTGATGGCCAGAGCGGAGACGAGTCATCAGATGAGGAGTCACCAGAGGATGCTGTCATTTCACCAGCAGGGAGATCATCGTCAGGAACTGTTGAGAATCTCACTCGTAAAGAGGTTGTTAAACGAGTTGTCCAAGTCATTGAACGCAGTCGCGGCCGTGAAATTCCTGGGACAGCCAACCCGATGTTAACAAATCACTTGTTTTGGGAACAGTCTGCAGGATGGAGGGCAATTGCACAAGACCATGCCAACAAAATTGCCCTTAAATGCAAGGATTTCCTAGTCCAAGTTTTGGAGTATACCGCAACTCCCGAGTTGATGTCCCGGATCATGAACATGACAGTGGTTCCGGCGCTCGAAGCTGCCCGCGAGGCTGCTTTGAATGAGCTTGAGCGAATCGACGAAGACATGAAGAGACATCCTATCACGTACAACCACTACTTCACAGATACCCTGCAGAAGATTCGGACTCGACACTGGGCAACTGAAGTCCGGAAAATAGCCAATAAATCAACAGTAAATGTTTCTGAAAAAACCTTTACTAGTGGGCCCGGGTATCAAAACAGGGAATACATCAAACCTGACAAATTTCTATCCAGTATCGATAGTAAGGTCAAGAAAAACATGGATAAGTTTGCTGCGGAACAAGCGCTTGATACTCTCGACGCTTACTACAAGGTATGTGCTTAAAATGATTTTGATATCTGAAGTAACTAACGTGCATGTATAGACCGAGCAGAAATATTTCATTGATGTGATTGCGAAACAAGTCGTTGAGCGTCACTTAGTTGCACCCCTTACTGAAGTTTTCGCGCCCAGGGTACTAGCACGCTACAGTGACAAACAGATACATTTCCTAGCAGCCGAGACCGTTGATGTGATACGCAGACGTGAGCACTTGGAGAGCAGAGCCAAAATCCTGAAAGAGGGCCAAGAAGCCTTCTACATGGCCATGGGGCAGGGTTTGTAATTTACAATGTGGAATCGATCGGTTATCGAGGAGTTATAATTGGAGAAAAATAGTTCTGAATATGACAAATAGACAGAAGCTATGAGAATGTGAAGTGTGTGGGCCCATAGACTGGATAAAAGGTAGAGTCTAGAGATATGCAATAGAATGGAAGTCTTTCTTAATTCCCAATATTTGGTAGTTAGCAATGCATCTCTTCGGTTATAATCCTTGAATAGTTGATATTCTACTATATAATATAGTTTATCTGAATATGTAGACACAGATAATGAGAGCTATAGTATAGGCCAACTTTGTAGTTTGTAGTTGAACTTTGAGAAGCCTTTGAGCGCCAAGACTTGAGTTTCCTGCACCAAAAAGTTTCTCCATCGCAATCTCGACTTTCCACAGCTTCATCAGCGAAACAACAATCCGAATCAACACAACTCATCGGCTTTACGGAGCTCAAGTTAATATACATATTTGTTAACAATCCTGGGCTTATTTCACCGATAGAATGGCGATTACTATTCTACCACCAACGTTCGACGATTTTCGAAATACAGTGCGGGATGCACAAGATTCAGATGAAGACATGGACATGGGCGATGAAAACAGGCCAGCAAAGAGAGCTCGTCTGTCTGGCATAACAGATACCATTGTCACCCCTGGAGAGATAATTACAGATGACCCGCAATGGATGAGGTAGGTGGTGTCTCAGTATACCTCTCCACTGGGGCATCCTGGACTAATGGATGAACGTTTTGCAGAGGCCATGGAACTTTCACGCCTGCGGTACCTGCAACAACAAATATAATAGCGACTGTAGCTGGTACAGTGCTCAAGACCAATAAGCTTCTCTCAGTCTACCCGTTGCGTGCCCGCTACACACCTGAAATCGGCGACCTAGTCGTCGGCCGAATAGTCGAAGTGCAATCAAAACGATGGAAGGTTGACGTCTCAGCTCCGTTACTCGCACAACTACCTCTATCAGCGATCAACTTGCCCGGTGGAATTCTACGCAAGCGTACAGCGGCGGACGAGCTGCAGATTCGCTCATTCTTCAACGAAGGTGATCTTTTGGTGGCAGAAGTACAAACTGTTCATGGTGATGGTGCCGCATCCTTACACACCAGGTCGTTGAAATATGGCAAACTACGCAACGGCTTGTTTTTGGCCGTGAGCGGTATGGGTGGTGGTAGTGGAACCGCCAGAGGTACAGGTGTAGTCAGATCAAGAAGGCAGGTGTGGACTATTGAAACTGCATATGGTGGTCCGATTGATGTCATTCTCGGCGTGAACGGCTATATTTGGATTTCCAAACATGTTCGTGACCCTTCGGAAGAAGATAGCAGCGGATCCAAGTCGAAGGTCTCGTTCACGCGACTGGAAGATATGGTTAGCACTTCGATGTATTCGAGTCAGAACGATAATATCCCGCTGGCCACAAGAAAGGAAATTACCCGAATCGCGGGATGTATTCGCGTTCTGGTCGAGGGTGGAGTTAAGGTTGACCAGGAGACGGTTATGAAGGCCTATGAAGCCAGTTTGGCTCTGGATGACGAGGAAGAGGATAGTGACATAGAGGGAGATGACGGCCAGGGCAGTACTCGCAAAGAGGGTCGGTATTATCTTGGAGGTGAAAAGGCGAGCAGGCTTATAGCTACTGTCTTGAGTCGGGGATCCTAATGATTGGTACCTGGGAACTATTATATCAGATAGTCATACCAATAATCACAAACATTCTATATGCAGATACCTGGACATCGATTCGTATCTCGAGGCAAACTAAACAAGCCAAAACGAAAATCGATTGATGGTACAGCATAAAATGACAAGCAAGCAAATACTCCCACCCCCAATTAAAAAAAAAACCACCCAAAACTGCGTCTATACCTCCATATGTCTAATTAATTATAACTGGAAAATAGGCGTGGTGCCTGTCCACTCGCCCTTTGCCTTCTCTTCCCAGTATCCATCCTTGCCAGTACGGAGTTTCCATATATCATCCCCGCCATCTAGGCCATCAACGTCAACATGTGTAAACCACCTAGGGCGCCATGTTTCGCCCTTCTGTTCCATCTCTTTTCTGCGGTAACGCTGGGCTTCTTCTAGTCGTGCCTTGATGTCTTCCGCTTCGTCGACATTGCCTTCTTCCAATGCACGTTGATCAGGGCGAAGTCGACTATCTGTTGGTGGTAGCTTGCGCTGTTCAACGGCTGTAATTTCATTGAGGGCTACTGCGAATTCAGTCAGGCCGTAGTGTTTTTGTGGCTTGTCGACCAGCGGGCCTGCAGCCCATATAATCTTGTTTGTCAGGTTTCCGTGCTCCGTCAGCTGGAGAGACGAGGTCCAATTTCCTTGTAGGCCAAGGGGAAGTTCTTCACCATGTGTATCGTAGGCTTTGACCATGACCTCTTCGCTGCGACCAGAGAACA